TCCCTTTTGTTTTCTCTCTCCTTTTGGGTGTTGTGGAACTTGACCTTTTTATGCTTATGGATTTGCACTGGATTGATGGTTCAAAATTATTAGTCTAGAAGCTGAGAAATATTACAACAGTCAGGGTACGTGCGAAGGATGGCAGGTTCAGTTTCTGGTAACACATTATTGGCAAGCATCACTTGGTGCAGCCCTGGAGGCCTCTGAATTGCTGGGTGTGGCTCTCTTGGGCCCCAAGGCTGACATAGCCCCCAAATGACAGGGTCTGAGGAACATCACATCCTCGGGTCCTTGCATTGAACCAATGGCCTGGTTGACCAAGAACTGCCAATACGGGCTGGAGCGATAGCACAGCTGGTAGGGCGTTTGCCTTGCACGCGGCCGACCCGGGTTCGATTCCCAGCATCCCATAGGGTCCCCCGAGCACCGCCAGGAGTAACTCCTGAGTGCAGAGCCAAGAGTAACCCCTGTGCATCGCCAGGTGTGACCCTAAGAGCAAAAAAAAAAATAAATAAAAGAACTGCCAATACTATCTGGCTTCCTGATCCTGCTTGGGAGGCCCAAAAAGCAAAACAAACTGGTCAAGGGGCCGCATAGATAATGCGACAGATAAGTAAGCTATCTTGCCTTATATGCTCCTGATGCTGTTTCTATCCTTAGCACAAAAAATGATCCCTGAGCACTACCAGGAGTGATCCCTGAGCACAGAACTAGGAGTAACGTCACATTACCAGGCCTACGCATTGAACTGTTCAGCCTGGTTGACTGAGTATTGCTGGCAGTGGCCCTTTAGCCCATGAGCACTCTTGAGGAGCCATATCCCTCCCCCACACACACAAAATGGGAAGGTAATGATAAAATGCTTGTTTTACAAGCATAAAAAGTGGGTTCGATGCCTTGATTTGAGAAAAGAAACTAACACAAAGGATACGAAGAACAGTGCTGCGCCTGTTGTCCAAGCAGCCACTGCTATGGCTCTGCTAACCCCGTGATCATGTCTCACTAAAAGCCACAGGTAACCAAGAGTCCTCGGGGACGGAGAACACTTGCCTTGGCAGAGGCCAACCTGAGTTCAATCCCTAACATTCTATATGGTCCCCCAAGCACCGCTGGGACTAATTCCTGAATGGAGCCAGGAGTAATCCCAGAGCATCCCTGAAAGTGACCCAAAAACTAAAAGACAATAAAAAGGATAGTATGGTAGGGGATGTAACTTCAGTGGTAGAATACTTTCCTTGCATGTGTGAGGCCTTAACTTCTATCCCTGGCACCAAAAACAAAGGATGGCGACACCAGTTACCAAGAAGAGCAAGAAGAATTAAATATCTTGGCTGCCGTAAAGAAAGTAGTCACCAAGGAGTGAGTCCCTTCTCCCCTCTAAAATCTTTTCAGAACAAAAAGCAATGTGGACGGTCATGGAGATGACTCAAAGGGTTGTAGTACATGCTTTGCATGTGTGAGCCCTGGGTTTAATGTACTAATGGTCACTTGAGTACCATCGGGTGTGGCCCCAAGATTTAAAGAACACCAAGAAAAAACCCTATGTTGATTAAAAAAGGAGAGGTACAAAAGACAGGAGAGAGTCCAAGGGTTAAAGTGCATGCCTTTCACTCAGCCATCCTCAGCTGGAACTCTGACACGACATATGGTCCCTAAGTACCACCACTACACTGTGACCCAAAAACCAAAACCAAGGAGAATGTGCCATATTTAATACCATTATTTTTTTTTTTTTTTTTTTTTTGCTCTTTGGGTAACACCCGGCAATGCTCAGTGGTTACTCCTGGCTCTGCACTCAGGAATGACTCCTGGCGGTGCTCAGGGGACCATATGGGATGCTGGGAATCGAACCCGGGTTAGCCTCATGCAAGGCAAACGTCCTACCCGCTGTGCTATCACTCTAGCCCCACTAACTTTACTTTTATGTACGTATTCCTACGAGGGCAACAGTGCTCAGGCCTTTCTCCTGGCTCTGACCTCAGGAATAATCCTGGCAGTGCAGGGGATCAAACTAAGGTGGTCATGTAAGGCAAACTCCCTACCTGCTATATATATTATCTCTTGGGCCTCTCTATATATTAATTTCAACTATGTTTTTGGTGAGCTAAGTCATGCATCTCTACCACTAATTTACTTTTTTAAACCAAAGAGTAAGAGTCACTGTCACTGTCACTGTCCTCCCGTTGTTCATCGATTTGCTCGAGCGGGCCCAGTAATGTCTCCATTGGAGACTTTGTTAGTGTTTTTGGCATATCGAATACGTCACGGGGAGCTTGCCAGGCTCTGCCGCGCGGGCGAGATACTCTCGGTAGCTTGCCAGGCTCTCCGAGAGGGGCGGAGGAATCGAACTCAGGTCGGCCATGTTGGCTGTGTGCAAGGCAAACGCCCTACCGCTGTGCTATCGCTCCAGCCAAGAGTAAGAGTACAGAGGCAAAGTCAAAGAGATAGGTCAGGAGCTGAGGCACTTTCTTTACAGGTATCTGACCCTGGTTTGACCCCTCAGCACCATATATGATCCTTCCCTCCCATCCAAGTACCTCCAGGTGCGCCCCAATGCCCCCCCACCACCATAGGACAATTTAAGAACGCACAGGAAGCATTTATCTTTGGGGAGAAGATCTGAGGAGGCTAAGATTGGCATATAATCTTATTTGGCAAGCTTATTTAGCAAGCTTTGAATAACCCATCATTTCAAATCTTTAATTGTAAAAACAAGTGACATTTTTGGGAACTATCATCTACTGGAATTGAATTAAAGATGCCAGGGGATGAAAATTTTTAAATTACTTTGAGGGAGGTACAGAGATTGAACAGTGGGTAGGGCACGTGCCTTGCTTGCAGCAGACCTGGGTCCAATCCGTAGCATCCCATATGGTCCCTGAGCAATCAGGAGTGATTTCTGAGCGCAGAGCCATGAGTAACACCTGAGCACCTCCAGATGTGACCCCAAAACCGAACAAAAATTTACTTTGGGGGATGAGAGCAAAAGTACAACAGGTAGGACACTTGCCTTGCACACGGCCAACCCTGGCACCCCATAATTTCCCCAAACACTGCCAGGAGTGTTCCCTGACACCGAGCCAGGAGTAAGTCCTGTACGCCACCAGGTGTGACCGTTCCCCCACCAGCCCACACAAAAAAATCACTTTGGGGACTGGAGAGAGTACAGTGGCTAAAGGGCTTGTCTTGCACACACGAAACCTGGTTTAAATCCTCAGCACTAACTACAATTCATTCCTCAAGTCCTGCCAGAAGTGATCTCTGGGTAAGAATTAAGCCCTGAGCACTGCCAGATATAGCCCAAAAGTAAGTAAATTGCTTTGGAGCCAGACCTAAAGAACTTTGTCTATCATACTTTGAAAGGCTTAAAACAGCAAGATGCATTTCCATGAAATGGGCATGGAGAGGGTTACGCCAAGACTTAGAGAAATAAAGGAAACTTTATGAAGTAGGGCCTGGAAATTGGCTACGTTATTAGATAGTCAGAATTTTATGTACTTCTGTCTTCTTATCTGCACCGAGATAGAGACCCTCTAGGTCTAAGGAAGCAAGAAATCTACACCGGTTAGATTTCTTGTCGTGTATGACAAACCTCTCAGGAAGATCTGCTATTGACTTTTGTTCTAATAAGCACCTGAACTGGTCAGTAGACTATATAATGACTCCTGACAGTTGCCTGTCTTCACACACAACCCTCATGACATCCTCCTTCCTTTTCATGTGCATGTATGATTGGACATGGTCATTTTATTTTTGATTTTTGGGGCATACCCAGTGATGCTCAGAGTTTACTTCTGGCTCTGTATGCAGGAATTGCTTCAGGCAGTGGTCAGGGAACCATGTAGGATGCCAAGGAATTTCGGTCAGTCACGTGCAAGGCGAGCAGCCTACCTGCTGTACTCTCACTCTGGCCCCATTTACAGAAAACTCAATTATTTACAGTTCCACCACTTCATTTTTTTGGCTTTTTGGGTCATACCCAGCAGTGCTCAGGGGTTACTCCTGGCTCTGCACTAGGAATTACTCCTGGCAGTGCTTGGGGAACCACATTGGATACCAAGGATCGAACCCGGGTCAGCCACATGCAAGGAAAATGCCCGACCTGCTGTACTACTGCTCCAGTCCTGTTATACCACTTTAATTCTAAAGAACCAGATTCACCAATTCCTTTTCGGTGTGTGTGTGTGTGGGGGGGGGGGGGGGGGGGGGAGGGGTGGGACCATACCCCATGGTACTCAGGATCTCTTCCTGTCCTCAGGAGTAATCCCTAGTGGTGATTCTGGAAAATCTGTGGTCTGCCACAATAGGGGTCTGCCACAGGCAAGGTGAGTCCCTTAACTCTTCAGCCTCCATTTCCTCTGTTGACCAAATCTAGCTTACCAACTTTAAGTGTTTGATCTCCAAGAACTTTGTCTTTTGGGCCATACCTGGCTGTGCTCAGGATCACTCCTGGTGGGGCGCAGGGGACCATATGGGGTTCGTGGTTGGCCATATCCATGCTCGATCTCCAACAACTTTTTTCAAAAAATTTTGTTTTATTGGTCACACCCACTCAGAGCTTCCTCCTGCTGGTGGTGCCAGGGACTGAACCCACGTCAGCCGCGTGGAGGGCAAGTGCCTTCTCCACCATACTCTCTCTTGGGCCCTGAAATCACTTCTATTCAATCCCCAGCATCCTCAGTCGTCCTCAGAGTATAGCCAGGAATAATCCCTGAGAGCAGAGCCAGGAGTAAGCCCTGAGCATCAACAGGTGTCAAAACAAAAAATTTGGTTAACCCTGTGATTTTCAGGTGAAAGACATTAAATACATAGGAAGGTTTTCTGTGCCACTTTCTCCTCAGAGGTTCTATTTTTTTCTTCTTATTCAGTAAGTTTCTCACTGGTTTGATTCCTGGCAGCGAATCTGGTCTCCTGAGCACCACTGGGTGTCCCTGCCAACCCCAATACAAACAAAGGTAGTTAAACCCTCAACTGTCTATTTAAGTAAACACCAAGACACAGACAGAGCAAAACATTTAATAGGTGTGCCTCAACTTCCCATTCCAGATATGATTTGATAGCCTCCCCAAGTTGGCAGTGCTAGAGAAAGCATGCATATTTTTTCCAAGCAGGTTTGAAAACCATTACGGCCCTCCTTCTTTCTTGACTCGGAAATAATCACAGGTGAGGTCTTCCGGTAGCATGCCTCAGGCTCTCTGCACAGAGAAAAAAGCTCCCTGGTTTCATAGGACTCCTGAAGTCTTCTGTTCTTCTGCAGCCTGTCTCTCTGAGCTACGCCGCTGGAAAAAACGGTAGGCTCGGGCACTGCAGAGGTAGCCCCCATACATGGTGAGGAGAATCATGGAGGTTGAGAAGGTCTTGTAACCAATGTCAGCTAGCTGCTTGGCAGTCGGCATGTTGTCACCTACAAAGACAAGAGTGGATTTATTTATTTTTGCCTTTTGGGTCACACCTGGCGATGCACAGGGGCTACTCTTGGCTCTGTGCTCAGGAATTACCCCTGGAGGTGCTCAGGGAACCATATGGGATGCTGGGAATCGAACTCGGGTTCGCCACGTGCAAGGCAAACGCCCTACCCGCTGTGCCATTGCTCCAGCCCCTGACAGAGTGGATTTAGATCTGAGAAAAGAGCCCAGGTCTCTTCTGATTAAGGCTATTCCCTCACTTCTACATCGGTGCAACTGTCTGCACTCCATACTGAATGGCACCTGCATTTAGACTTACACTACAAACACTGAATCACAAGGACAGTGAAGTCTGTATATGCAAAAGAGAAATACAACGAAAACCAAGTGCATTAGAATGACATCACAGCCAGTCCTTTACCTTCTGTGTTTGTGGCAGTGAGTGGCGAACCTTCCAGAAATGCCCTGAACTGGCACATTAAGAATGCATCAGTTTTTCTCTCCACAGGGAATTGATAGAGGGGATTAAACTTTAGCAGCAAGGGGCCAGAGAGAGTATAATGAACTGAGCCACATGCTTGCGTACCAGAAGTGCAAGTTTGATCCCTGGCATTCCACGGTCCCCCTAGCAATGCCAGGAACAACTTATAATCACAGAGCCCAGAAGAGCCCCCCACACAGCTACCTCCGGCACTACCAAGGATAGCCCAAATAGCAAAAGAAACATTAGCAGTGAATTACTCTCTAGGAAGATCAAATAAGAAAATGTCCAATTGAGAAAAACAAAACAGGAGCCAGAATGATGGCACAGCAGACAGGGTGCTTGCCTTGCTCACAGCTGCCCCAAGTTCAATCCCGGACATCCCATATGGTCCCCCAAGCCTGCCAGGAATAATTCCTGAGTGCAGAGCCAGTAGTAACCCCTGGGCATCGCTGGGTGTGGCCTGAAAACAAAAATACAAAACAAATATTTAAATAAATAAAACCCTTAGGGGCCAGAGAGAGAGTACAGCAAGTGGGGTGACTGCCTTGGACCCAGGTATGATCGATCAGGCACCACCAGGAGTGAGCACAGAGTCAGGAGTAAGCCCTAAGCATCACCAGGTGTAGCCCCAAAACAAGCAACAACAAACAACTTAAGAGGCTAGAGATAATACCCCCCCCCCAAAAAAAAAACCCAGAAACCGAAAGCCTAGAAAATGCCAGCCCGAAGAAGGGAAATAATCAGGAAACTCCAGAAATATGGGGATGGGGGAGGGGAGGGTGGTGGTGGGCTTATTCATTTAACTACATCCTTCTTCCTAGTTAAAACGTCACTGCTTGCATAGTCACTACTGCTGACAAAGGTGTGCTCTCTTTTAGGTGTGATGGAAAAGAATAATGAGAAATCACTGCTTTTTTCTAAAATAGCATAAAGATTGCTCAAGAGAGATTACTGGAAGAGAATAGGTGACAGGTCACTGACAAGCCTAAATAAAAATTAATGGAGTGAACTGGGCTAGAACTGACATTAAGGGCGCAGGTTCTTGGTCAGGGCTCCAACATGTCCATAAATCCTCCTTCCCCACGTTTCATTTCCTGTACACTTCCCTAGGTCAGCAGAGACAAAGAGAGGGGGGGAGGGAGGAGCTGTTTGGGATCACATCTGGCTGTGCTAGGGTGTCAGGGTTCAAACCTAGACTAGTCACGTGCAAGTTTCTGTCCACGATACTATCTTTCTGGCCCAGACTTGCTAGTTCAACGAATGAGGGTGGTAAGATAGCAGCTTGAGAAGGCACCGTGATCAGGGACGTTCTAGTTTCCTTTACTTATCGACATCAAGATTTGAGTATGTTTTAGAGAAGCTGGTGGCTAAAATGAGAGCAAGTGAGCTGAGATGTACAGGATGGAACAAAGTACAAGTTGGCCAAAAAAAGATAAAACAAGATCCCCGAGGGGCGGGTAGAGCGTTTGCCTTGCATGCGGCCGACCTGGGGTCAAATCCCAGAATCCCATATGGTCCCCTGAGCACTGCCAGGAGTAATTCCTCAGTGCAAAGCCAAGAATAACCCCTGTGCATCGCCAGATGTGACCCAAAACACACACACAAAAAAAGAAGAAAACAAGATGCCCAAGGGGCTACAGCAATGGTATAGCGGGCCTTGCATGTGGCTGACCTGAATTGGATCTCCAGCACCACATATGCTCCCTGAGTCCTCCAGGAGTGATCCTGGGTTCAGAGCCAGGAATAAGCCCTGAGCACCACTGGGTGTGGCCCAAACACAAAACAAAAAAAGAGGCTGTGGTGAGAGGTTCAAAACATTAACTTTTTTTATGTAGTGCCAGTGATGAAATCCAGGGCCTCACACAGGCAAGGTGAGTGCCCTACCAATGAAGTACATTCCCGATAATTTGCCTTGAAAATGAAGGGAAAAGTGAACATAAAAATCTGTTACATGGGGCTGAAGTGACAGCACAGCGGGTAGGGTGTTTGCCTTGCACGCAGCCGACCCGGGTTCGATTCCCAGCATCCAATATGGTCCCCCGAGCACCGCCAGGAGTAATTCCTGAGTGCATGAGCCAGGAATAACCCCTGTGCATCGCCGGGTGTGACCCAAAAAGCAAAAAAAAAAACAAACAAACAAAAAAAAACTGTTACATTTCTAAATGCAAATAAAAGAACAAGAAGAGAGTGCTCCAGAAACATCAAATAATTGGGAATCATTCTAACAAAGAATGTGAAAGAACTACTGTAGGGTAACAGTGGTATGCCCATTCTCCTCTGCCACTGGGAGCTTGGGTTTTTCGGCTGATACCCATCACAGTGCTCCCGAAGCACCTCCATTCCTCTGTGTTTATTGGAATCTAGCTCTAAACATTTTTAGGATAACACTGACATGTCCTGTTTCTCTGGCCACAAGGAACTCAGGTCTATTACAGTGCTCCTGAGGCACTTCCACTCCCTTGTGTTTATCTGTAAACTCTTCTCTATGCTCTCCTCCCCAACCAGTTAATCAGCTTTTCCCCCTAATCAGACTCTGTTAACTGTAAGGTCAGATTCCTCAGAGATCGATGGTTTTATATGTATGAGTGAAAGACTGCCTTTCTCCTCTCCTTTATGTCTTTTGAATAGATTTTAAAGCAATGTCCTTTTTGTACAGGTGCAGGAAGACAGTTAATATTACGCTTCTGTAACTTGGGATTTAACTGGCTTCAATATTATTCACTCCTAGACATTTGTTTTCTCGACTTAAGCCTCAGTTGCCCTTAGTTCCTCGCATCCCAAGAGCAGGGTCGCGACAAAGGACTGAACGGACCCAGGGCAAGCTGTGAGCTACCCTGGCATCGAAATGGGCCAGGCCAAAGTGCCACAATACTCAACTATAAGTTGAGAGCTTGGTCATGGACAAATGATGTCACGATCCAAAAAGTAACGACGAGATCAGGACCCTGCTAGGGATAGGAAAGACTCATCTGGCCTGAGCACTGTAGTCTGAGATCGAGATGACCCCAGGAGAGCGATTCTATAAGCTTAATGTATCTCTTACTGTGTCCATACAAAATGATTAATATTATGAATGTTTATATGTTCGCTGGACTAAGGAGAGGAGAAACACACCCAGATTTCCCTTCAGGCCAGTCATCTTGCTGGATAAGAACCTGTCCTGGAAGTAGCTTCCCCTGAGGGAAGGACCTTACATCCGCTGATTGTATGATGATACCTATGTGTAATTGTTACTCCAACCCCTCATGCTGGGGGATTTAAGGAGACTGTAAGACTGGGGTGAGGGATCCAGATTCCAGAGCCAGAAGGAGAATGAAGAGGGATCGAGGAGGAGAATGAAGTAGCATGGGGGGTGAAGCAAGAGGAGCCGGAGAAGCAAATGAGGAGATTGGAATAAAAGGCAATTGAGACCAACCAGCCTGGCCCTCGTTTCCTTCCCTAGCCTGCCCATCGCCATCGGCCTCCCCGGAGTGAGGGAAGCGGCCCGAGACTACCGAACGCAGGAGGCGGGAGAGACAGACCTCGGGAGGCGGGAGAGATAGACCGATGCTGTTGTTTGTGTTTACACAACCTACACTTATAAAAGTCTAAGTCAATTATGAAAGAAACAGAATAGGACAAAAGGAAATGGGAAAATGTTTCATGTTCATGAACTTACACAGTTTTTTCAAAATGACCATACTATCCAAAGTATTATATAGGTTTAATAAAATTCCCATCACAATCCCAATGATATTCTTCAGGGAATTAGAACATATACTATATATGGAAGCATAAGACCCAAAGTTATCCTGAAAAAAATAATGAAACAGTTGAAAAATGCTGCACTTTCTGACTACACCATAGAGCTACAGTAATCAAAACACCACTGTACTGGAATAAGGTTAGGCTGACAGACTTAGAAATCCGGCTTGAGATTCCAGTGATAAACCCTCAGATATGAACAGTTCTATGACAAAAGAGTTGGGTGCATGGAATAGAGCAAGAAAAGCTTTTTCAACAAATGGTGTTGGCAAATTCCCAGAAGAAAAACCCAGGTATGTGGGACCAGGAACTGAAGACTCCAGGCCACATGGCTTCGGTGTGGACAGGCTGTCCCTTCCCATCTCCCTGCCCCTTGGGGTCCTGGCTGCCACATTCACAAACTGCCTCCGGGCACCAAACAGCCTCGGCCCAGAGACTCACAAATAAATCTCAAAATGGATTAGCTCCCTACAGAGATGTCTCCAGACTCCAATCATTTACAATCTTAGAATTCCAGGAGCTGCCTGACTGCTTTCACGGCCACACAACCTCTCATGATAAACAATAGAAAATAAATGATCTAGCATCTGCCTGTGGCAGGTAGGCTTGAATGGTGGTGGGAAAATTCAAAATAATGGTGGTGGGATTGGTGCTGAAATACTAATTATAATTAATGTGAACAACCTTCCTGTCCTGTCCTGTTGTTCATCGATTTGCTCGAGCGGGTCCAGTAACGTCTCTATTGGAGACTTTTGTTGTTACCGTGTTTGGCATATCAAATACGTCACGGGGAGCTTGCCAGGCTCTGCTGTGCGGGCGAGATACTCTCGGTAGCTTGCCGGGCTCTCCGAGAGGGGTGGAGGAATCGAACTCGGGTCGGCCATGTTGGCTGCGTGCAAGGCAAACGCCCTACCGCTGTGCTATTGCTCCAGCCCGTGAACCACCTTATGAAAGTAAAATTTAAAAATTAAAAAACGGTGTTGGGAAAATTGGAAAACCACTTGTAAAAAAATAAAATAAGGGGCTGGAGAGACAGCACAATGGGTAGGGCGTTTGCCTTGCACGCGGCCAACCCGGGTTCGATTCCCAGCATCCCATATGGTCCCCTGAGCACCGCCAGGAGTGATTCCTGAGTGCAAAGCCAGGAGTAAACCCTGAGCATCGCCAGGTGTGACCCAAAAAGGAAAAAAAAATTAAAATGAAAATCGAATCCCTATCTCATCACGTACAAAAAGTAACTCAACGTGGACCAAAGACCCAGAGATTAGGGGCCAGAGAGAAATAGTATAATTGGTAGAATGTTTAAACCCTGCATGATCCAGATCTGATCCCAGGCATCCTATAAGGTCCCCAGAGCTCTGCCAAGAATGAGTGCAAAGCCAGAAGCCCTGAGCACTGTTGACTATGACCCCAAACAAAACAAACCAAGAGTGTTTTCAACGACAAACTCAAAGTACCAACTGCAAAAATAAGTGTCACTACATGAAGTCACTTTTTTTTAATCTGGCAAAAGCAGCTTGGGACAAAATTAAACGATTAGAAGAGACTGGGGTGATAGTGCATCAGGTAGGGTGCTTGCCTTGAACCTGGCAGACCCGAGTTCAAGTCCCAGTAGCCCATATAATCCCCTGAGCACCACCAGTAATACCTGAGTGCAGGACTAGGAGTAACACACACACGCGTGCACACACACTCAAGACTGGGAGAAATACTTGAAATAAAGAACTAACATCCAAAATCTATAAAGCACTCACAAAGCTCAGCAACAAAACAAACCTGGGGGCCAGAGCAATAGTACAGACGGTTGGGCGTTTGCCTTGCACACAGCCAACCAGGGTTCGATCCCTGGTATCCCATAGGGTCCCCTGAGGACTACTAGGAGTGGTTCCTGAGTGCAGAACCAGGAGTAACCCCTGAGCATCATCAGGTATATCCCAAGAAGTCAATAAATAAATTATTTTCTAAAAAAAACAATAACCCCATCAAAAAATGGGGGAAAAGGCCAGAAAGACAGTAAAGGAAGGCACTTGACCTGCACACAGTAAAACTATTGTTCAATTCTGGATCAAATGGGTACCATATACCATCCCTTGAACAGTCATGATTAAGCATGATTCTAATATTTTATTATTCGTCTTAGACATGCTATTTTGCAAATCAAAACAGAACAAAAAAGATATATACATGCCCACGTTCACAGCAGTTCTAAGTACAATGGCCAAGGGGAAACAACCCAAGTGCCAAGTGACAGATGAATTGATAAAACAAGTTGTGGTATCTAGAGGGAGGGGTGGAGGGCGCAATGGAGTACTATGTAGTCACAAAAAAAAAAAAAAAAGTAACGCAGTTCCAAGCAATTTGGATAGAATTGAAGAGAATCATGCTAAGCAAAATAAGCAAGAAGCAAAAGGATAAATACGATAGGATCTCACTCATCTGTGGTATACAGAAAAACAAGACGATCTCAATCCATAATAAACCTTGGACACTAGATGAGACTGGAGTATGCCAGACTGGCACAGAAGCAGGAGGGGACGTTAGGTTGACAGGGGGTAAAGTGTAGGTACAGAGCACGAAGACGGTGGATATGGGAGGTCAAAGCACAGGTTAGGTGTTATAGGGTAATTGGCTGGCAGGTTCAGCAAAACCAGGGCTAGAGTGGAATGAAAAAAACACTACAAAAAATTCGGTAAGGTCTACAAAGACCCTGTGGGTCTCTTACAGGCTGCCCCACAGACAGGTCCCCCCTTGAGGGAGGACCTCAAGGCTCAGGTTTCTTGTCAGGAAAACTCATTCCTTCTGGGTCTGCAGAGTACAGGGACTAAGGTGCTATGAAAGTGGAAGGGAGACCCAGGTTAGATCCGAGGCACCACTGGTCCTTGAGCATCAGCACCCGAGTGTAAACCCAGAAACGCCAAGCACCGCAGGGGTGGCTTGGTAATTCCTGGTCACTCCTTTCCTCCACTGGCTGAGTAGCTCCTGGGGGCGCCCTTCGCCCCCAGCACTGCTTGGAAGCCCCCCCCCCACTCCCCCAAGGATAATTTATTACTCCTAGTTTTGATTTATTGGGGCATGGGAGCAAATGGAGGCGGACAAAGCAAAATAGCATGTCTAAGACGAATAATAAAATATTAGAATCTGGGGGCTGGAGCAATAGCACAGCGGGTAGGGTGTTTGCCTTGCATGCAGCTGACCCGGGTTCGATTCCCAGCATCCCATATGGTCCCCCGAGCACCGCCAGGCGTAATTCCTCAGTGCAGAACCAGGAGTAACCCCTGTGCATCGCCAGGTGTGTCCCAAAAAAAAAAAAAAAAAAAAAAAAGAATCTGCTGTGGTTAAAAGCTCAAAGAGCTGTGCAAGAGGCCCGCTGATGGCCCGAAAACTTAGGAGAGACCAAAAAAAAAAAAAAAAAAGGAGGGTAGCGGGGCCGAGAGATGCTACAGCTGGTCAACCTTGCAAGCGGCCAACCCAAGGTCAATCTCGGGCAACTCCGAGCCCCGGCAGGTGTGACCCTGGGCGCCTGGTGCGGGGACCTGAGCACAGCTGGTTGTAGCCCCAAAGCAATCCGAAAGAGCGGTCGTCTCCACGGGGGTCTCCAGAAAGCCACGGCGGGCCGAGGCTTGGCGCAGCGCCCCTGCCTCAAAGGCATCGCAAATGCTCCGTGGCAGGAGCTAGAAGAGCAGAGCGGGGCCGGGTTCGGTCATTTGCGGGAGCTCCTAAGGCCGCAGCGGTGAGCAGGGCTTCCGCCTCGACGGGGCTAAACTAATTCAGGCCGCCGCGAGTTAAGGGGCCCCGAGAGGGAGCTGGAGCGATAGCACAGCTGGCAGGGCGTTTGCCTTGCACATAGGTCCAACCCGGGTTCGATTCCCAGCATCCCATATGGTCCCCCGAGCACCGCCAGGGGTGACTCCCGAGCCAGGAGCAACCCCTGGGCATCGCCGGGTGTGACCCAAAAAGAAAAAAAGAAAAAAGAGGCCCCGAGATTTCACAGACCCGGTTCCAGGTTCGCAGGACCAGGGGGTGCGGCAGGGCGCGGCGCGGAGGTGCTAGACCGCTGGGCAGCAGCGAAGTGCGGGGCGAGCTCCGGGGGGTGACGGCGGGAGGTGACGGCGGCACGGAGGGCGCCGGGCAGGACCTGCGGGGCGGGGCGGGGAGGGGCAGGGCAGAGACCGGCCCGCCTGGAGGGAGGCGCCCGCCGGGCGGCAGCAGCGGAGATCGCGGCCCGGGACCCCAAGGGCACCGACGGCCGAAGACGGGCCTGGGACAAGCAAGCGGCAGCCGTAAGCCCCGCGCGCGCCCGGGACGTCCCGGCGTCCTCCCGCCCGCGACCCCCGGCCTCGGCGTGCCACCGCCGTCCGCGCGGCGCCGCAGCGTCTCCCAAGCGGACACGCGAGAGCAGGAGCCCCGGGGTCGCCCCGGACGCCGAGACGGGGCTGCCGAAGGCCGCCACCCTCGCCGTTCCCCTCGCCGCCCCGCTCACGCACCCGGATTCCGTCCCGCGCCGCGGAGAACGCGCCCCGCTCCGACGCTCCCGGCCCCGCCCACAGGGGCGGGACTCCCGGCGGCGACTTCCGCTCGCGCACTTCCGGGCCCGCACGGCGCAGGCGCAGACGGGCCGGCCGCTCGGGGGCGCCCGCGGGACCCGGCGCGCGGTGGTCAGTCTCCGCCGCGCGGGCGTTTGTGAGCCCCGCGCCGCGGCGCGGAGGGGACCCACTCGCGGGAGGAAGGCGGCCCCGTCCGAGTCAGACTCAGCCAGCCCTCCCGCCCCCGTTAGCTAGGGAGGTCGTGTCAGCCGGCCCTCGGGAGCGGGCCGCGCGCCCCCCGAGCCCGGAGCCGTCCTCCCGCGTGGGCCGAGCTCAGGTAGGAGGAACCCGACGGCCGAGGCGGCGGCCCACTGGGCCTGGCCCCCAGAGTGGCACGAAGGAGGAATCTCCCTTTTTTTTTTTTTTTTTTTGCTTTTTGGGTCACACCCGGCAGTGCACAAGGGTTGCTCCTGGTTCATGCATTCAGGAATGACCCCTGGCGGTGCTCGGGGGACCCAGTGGGATGCTGGGAATCGAACCCGGGTTGGCGCGTGCAAGGCAAACGCCCTACCCGCTGTGCTATTGCTCCAGCCCCCACCAAGGAGGATTCTCACCTTTTGCTCCTGTGTTTGTGCCCGCGCTTGGCGGCGGCGGGACGAGGCCCCCCCCCCCCCCCCCCCCAGCCCCGGGAAGCGACCGGCGGGCGGGCAGCGCCGCTGGGGGCCGAGCCCAGGATTTGGGAGCGCGTCTCTTTTGCCTCTTTCTTCCCCTCCTCTTTTCTTCCACGATGCGTGAAAGCAAGTGCTTCAGTGCCACCGCGGCCTAACCACATGCCGGGGCACCCCCTCTTCCTCTCCTTGCTAGAAAATTCCTGTATTTGGGGTGGACACCAGGCCTGGCTCCGGGGCTTGGGCTTTTCTATCCAAGGGAGAGTGAAGAGAACAGCGAAGGTGTTGGACTGTCCGAGAGGTGGGGAGAAAGCTGACTCTCCTTTTCTTTTCTTTTCTTTTTTTTTTTTTTTTTGGCTTTTTGGGTAACACCCGGCGATGCACAGGGGCTACTCCTGGCTCATGCACTCAGGAATTATCCCTGGCAGTGCTCAGGGGGCCATATGGGATGCTGGGAATCGAACCCGGGTTGGCGCGTGCAAGGCAAACGCCCTCCCCGCTGTGCTCTCGCTCCAGCCCCTCCGCCCTTGTCTTGATCTCCTGGGGAGGCCCCCCACCAGCGTTGGGCGCCCTGCCCTGGTCCCCACTCCCCCCCCCCCAGTCCCTTCCTCTCTCACGTGTTCCCGAGGAGGGAAGGGTTAAGCCAGTGCTGCCAGAGCAGTGTGCCAGGGGCTGCCAGGGCAAGCTGAGACCCTCTCTCTGTGGCAGGCGCATTCGCCTGCCCAGCACTTGGTGCCTATTTATAGCCGGGGGCCAGGCTGCTGACCTGGGCCATCCCTGGCTGCCATCCTGCCCTGGAGCTAGCCCAGTCTGCAATCAGCTCTTTCCCTTCTGCCTTCCTGTGCTCCCCTCCCCTGGTGGAGGGGTGGTTTCGGGGGGGTTGTTTTGTTCTGTTGTGGGCTCTTCTTAGAGCTTCCTCCCGGCTCAGGAATCCTGGTGCTGGTCTGGGGCCATGTGCGGAGTTGCCGACCTAACCCTTAACCCCTGTGCTCAATCTCTCTCTTCAGTTTTCCAGCTGCCGGGGCCTTCAGATGAAAGGCGAGCTGGCTTGGGCATGTCAGGACCCACCATTCCCTGCCCAGTCTCTGGGCCCCTGGTCTCTGCAGGTGCTGGTTAGTTGCCTCGGATGCTCCAGGGGCGGCTGAGAAAGAGGTTCAGGATTTGGGAGGAGTAAATGGAGCCAGGGAGGTGAGATAGCTGCGGGACTGTGTGAGGCATTCGTAGGGGCATGCTCTCTTCCTGTCTTTCCGTCTCTCTCCCTCTCCACTCCCCCCAAACACACACAAACTCGGGCACACACTGAGCACCGGAAGGGAGGCACAGGGTAAATACAAAGGTCACCAGGAGCAGAGTGATCCAAGGCTGCTATGAGGAGGTGTCGCTATGTCAGCAGATTACGTTCCTCGCTCCCCAAAGAGGGTGCTGGTGGGGAGGGTGAGGGAAGTCTGGGAAAGGTCACACAAGGTGGGGAGAAGCTGGCAAAGAGAAGTCAGGAAGTCCCTGGGGAGAATGGCAAACCCTGGGGGCCAGAGATGCCAGCCGAGCAGCAAGTCTGGTGCCAGGGCAGCCCGGGGGGGTGGGGGAGGTTGCGGCATGACCAGAGGTTTCTGAGAACGCAGATGTTGCTAGGAGAAGGCGGCTGTTTGAGATCTTTGTATTTTGTTAACAAACACTGAGATCCATTGATGCTGTGTGGGGCCTGGCAGAGGTCAGAGCAGAGGAGTCCTGGGGCCTCGGTCATCTCCATCGTCTCGACCCCTCCCAGTCAGCCCTTGCCTCATTCCTCTCGTGGCTGATGGTCTCTAACCACCACGCCGGGCTTGCGGACAGGATTCCCGGTCTTTGAGGCAGCAGTGGGCAGCTCTTGGCCTCGTTCTCTCCACCTTTCGCCCCACACACTCAAGTAAAGCCACACTTGGGCTTGATCTTTCCCCTCCCAGCAGACAGACAGGGTCAAAACTCCACATAAGGAGAGGGGCAAGGAAGCTCTATTTCTGGAGAGATGGAGTAGAACACAGTTGCAGGCTACTTGGGTGGTCGAGGATTTCTAGGCAGATCGCTGGGCCCCACAGCGTCCTGTCCTTCAGTGAAAAGTCAAGAGGAGGCTATTCCAGGGGGTGTTCCAGAGATCCTAGTGGCCAGTTACCCCAAGCTTCTGACTGTCTTCGTTGCGGTCAAGAACCTTCCTGGCCTGGGCTCTGGGCCCACTTACATGTGTTCTGGGTGATTGCGCAGGCACTGGATGAATTCAGCCACTGGCAGGTTCTCATAGCAGATCCTGTACACAGCCATGAAGAGGGGAAACCTAGAAAGGACAGGACAGACGTGATTTAGTGTGCAGTTCCCAACTTCCTGTCTTCCACCTAATGTTCCATTCCCCTACTGGCCCACCTTTGTGTTCAAGCAAATACTAGTTCTCGGTTTCCAGTTGCTGAAAATTTGAAATGCCTAGGCCTGGTTTTAGATCAGATTGTTACTTGCCCTGACCTCTATCATATTAAACTTGCCTTCCTGAGGAGAGCTAGAAACCTGGGTTTGATCCCCAGCATCCTATATAGTCCACCAAGCACCTCCAGGAGTAATTCCTGGGTGTAGAGCCATGAGCATTGCTGACTGTGGGCACACACACACACACACACACACAACACTTGCCTTCATGAAACCTTAGCATAAACTTTTTTTTTTTGGCTTTTTGGGTCACACCCTGCGATGGTCAGGTTATTACTGGCTCTGCAGTACTCAGGGGACCATATGGGATGCTGGGGACCCAACCCAGCTCAGCCACATGCAAGGCATATCTCATGCCCGCTGTATACTATTGCTCTGGCCTCAGCGTAAACTTTTTATTCTAACTGGGCAAGGCAATTTCACTGAATTGAAATTCAGTATCATCAGCTGTAAAATAGGGCCAGTATGGAACCAGGGATAAAGCTCATCAGAAGAGCACTTAATTTGCATGTGTGAGACACTGGGTTTAGTTCCCATCTCACACACACACACACACACACACACACACACACGTTTAACAGTACAAAATAATAAAGATGGTATATGCGATGTGAAGTGCTCAGTAAATGCCATTTTTCTTTTCATCCTTTTGCCTCAGCTGCATCCTTTGCCAGGAGGCTTCACCCTGACCAGTCATGAGCTGATCTTTTGAGCTTTTTTCTTGTGTCCCTATTCTGTCTCAGACCAACAGAGCTCTGCTCATGTCAGCCCATCACGCCCATTTTATTTGTCTGAAAAGACGCACCAGGAAGTAAAGACTGTCCTCCTCGCACTAAGAGTAGGATTCAGGGAACAGAAGGCTGGCCATGGAGAAGGAGCTTAATCTTTGCGAGTGTGTGTGTGCGTGTGTGTGTAGGCGGGTGGGGGAAGCTCCAAAGCAGTGTTCACTTCTGGAGGCATCAGAAAATGTTCAAAACCAAGCCGAAAATGCTCAGAGCAATTGATGTGCTACCAGTGGTTCTTCAGGCAAGGGTCGGGGCTGGGGGGTGGGGGACAGGAGTGGGGTGGTCATGTAGTGTCACAGGTTGAATTTGGGACCTTGAGTGGAAGGCATATACCCCTGAATCCCAGCTATCTCCCTAGCCCCAGTGGGAATCGCCTAGAATGGAGGTGATGGATAGGAGCTGGGCTGTCGTATGTACTTATTCTTGTTGCTCCAGGACTTCAATCCCTGCAGCATAGGATGGTAAGGGGATAAAGGACAAAGAGAAAGCAATGTGGTAGAAAGAGCATGGGCAGGGATGAAGTGATAATACAGTGGGCAGGGCATTTGCCTTGCACACGGCCAACTCAGATTCAGCCCAGCATACCATATGGTTTCCTGAGCACTGCCAGGAGTAACCCCCGAGCATTGCTGAGTGTGGCCCCAAAAACAGAAAAATAAGATGGGTTAAGGAACTTGGCTCGCTTGCAGCCAATCCTGGTTCGATTCGCAGCACTGCATGTTGGTCTCCTGTGCACCACCAGGAGTGATCCATGAGCACTGTATGGCCCAAATGAGCCAAGAGCAAACAACCGTAACAAAGACCATGAACTAGCAATTGGAATCACCGACTCTCTCTAATATCCAGCCATCCTGTCTAAAAATAGATATTCCCTCTGCTTACATCGTAGATGGTGAAGGGAACAGGAAGGTGACAGATGGCAACTCCTGGTTGTGGTGCTTCAACCAGCGCGGCGACGACAAATACTTACTTTTGCAACAGGCCCTTCTGCTGGATAATGCTGTGAAGCTCCCGGGCTGTCTGGGGGCCCTGCAGCTTCTGTCCGTTCAGCATCTCTTTTTCCAGCTGCTCAATTGGCTTTGGAAAATGGGTGCAGGAAAAGGAGGGGCGCATGGAAAAGAAGGTTATCATCAGCGCTGCAAGTGCTGAGTATAACACTCAGATACAAGGTGGGCTCTGGAGGAAAGAAAGGCTGGGCATGTTCACACAATTGTTCGAGAGCCTCTCAAGCGGATTTCTTTATTATGATGCCCACCGTGCCCCCTTTCTGCTCTCACTCTCCACTCTGCCCTGGGCCTACCTTTCCCGTGCGAGCAAAGGCCTCGGCCACCTTGCGGTTCCGCCCTCCATAACAGGTAGTGATGAGGTCTGCAACGCCGCAGCTCTCCAAGAAGGTGGCAGAGGACACGGGGCCACGGCAGAAGATCTTCGCAAAGGCAATCATCTCCATGAGCCCCAGTCGGATCACCGCTGCCTTGGTGTTGTCGCCAAAGCCTAGCCCATCGCAGAAGCCAGCGCCTACAGCCACTATATTCTGCGGGGAGATGAGGTCATAGATGAAAAAGAATCTCTGCCTGCAGGACCCCTTGGAGCCCTCGGCCCCTGCTGTCTGCTCCTTCCCTCCGCCATGTGCACAGCAGCTGAGTGAGTAAGGCACGATGGACATGCTCCTAAATATTTATTTTTTAAGGCTCTGGGGCCAGACCCAGCGTTGCTTAGAGCTTACTCCTGGCTCTGCCCTTAGGGTCACTCCTGGTAGTGCTGGGATTCGAACCAAGGTCCGCCATGTGCAAGACCAGCTGCTCTCTCTCTCTCCGGCCCTGCTCATAAATTTTCCACCTCTTGGTTTCCTGTTTGCTCTATTCCCATCATTTAGCCTGGGCTTATGCTCCCTGGTTCTCTAAGCCTGCCCCTTACCCCATCCTTGAGAACAGAAATTCCTGATGGTGAATAATTGGCAGGCCTGGATGACCTTGGCCTTGCTTCTGCAGTTCTTCCTATGTGTATGGCCTTAGTGGGGGGAGGGGAGCGGCTGCCGGAGAGTGAGAGCCTGGAGTCCTAGCAACCTTGCATAACTGAGCGAGGCCCTCCTGTAGGACCTTCTCCCCACCCCACGGTTGCTTCATTGCCACGCTTACCTTCAAAGCCCCGCAGATCTCGACTGTGTCAACCTCTTGCACCACAGTGATGCGGAAATTGGGTGTCTGCATCAGCTCTTTCAGGAGCTGTCCCTGCGCCAGGTCCTTGCAGCCTAAAGTGAAGAGAGGGGTATGGCTTTGTTGAAAGGGAATTCCTTTTTTGGGAGGTGGGGGGGCAAGCATTGGGTTGTACCCGGAGGTGCTCAGGGGTTACTCCGTGGCTCTGTGATCAGAGGACCAAAGGCCGTGTGTGTTGCTGGGGATCGAACTGGGCACGTGCACGGCAAGTGCCTTAACCTAGACTATCTGACCCTGTACAGGAGGATTCTTGACTGTTACTCTCACACATACTTAAAGTAGGGCCTGCAGCCCTGTGTCCTGGCATTGTTCCAGCCCTCCCTCCCCTCCCTCACCTTTGATGCTCAGGTCATCATCCTTTGCCAGCCTTCTGGAAGAAGTTTAAGTGAATGGGGGAAGAGTGTTGGGAGGGGATGTAACAGAGCTGCAGTGTATGTTGGACGGTGATGGGGCTCTCACCGATGGTTGTCTCACAGAACTTCTCCTCAGCCACCTCGCTGGCAATGTTGGCTCCCATCAGCACATTCATGGGGATGCCAAGGCACTCCGCAATCACATCAGAGATGAGCTTCAGACCGTTGGGACCCTCGTCTACTCCCTGGGCACAAGACAGAAGTCCTGTCTCTTCCCAGCCCACAGGCCCTGTTGCAAAGGGCCTCGTTGCCGTGAGGATGGTAGACAGCACGTGGAAGGGTTCCATCTGAAAATGCTCCTTCCACACCCCTCAACCAATCTCTAAGACAATGTATCTCCGACACCACAAACCTGAACAACCCCTTCCTGAACACCCCAAAGCAACTTCTTTTCGCACGTCACACAAAATGAGTTCCTTTTCACACTCCAAGGCAGGCACCCTGCTTCTCATATTCCCCTGGCAGCCTTTGTTATCCTAAATTTCCAAAGCATCAGCCTTTAAAACAATCTTTTATCGACTCAACTCATCTCCCTTCCCAATGGCCCAAGCCTCCCGAAAACCCATTCCTCCCTTCCTTCAAATGAAAAAAATAATAATAAGCCAACCTTAGTCTGCTATTTTGTATTTTCACTTCACCCACCCCTACGATTTTCTGTCCTCTCATCGCCCACCCCTAAGCCTCACAACAGTAGCTGCTCCCTCTCCAAGAAAAGCTGCGTCCCTGGCACCTTAATAAGTGATAAGCCAATAGCACTTGTCTTCAGGTGGCCCTTGAGCTGATTACAGATCTTGCCGATGAACTGATGAGGCACCACGAAGATCAAGATGTCAGCATCGGTGGCAGCTTGGATGACATCTGGGACAGCCACCTGTGGGGGTGACCAGTGCTCATGACCGACTTCTAGCTTCTCCTGAATCCCATTCAGGAAATCTAGAGGCCAGAGTGTGAAGCTGGCAGGGGAGAGGGTGGGGGGAGCTGAATCCGAATGGGCAGAAGATTCTCTGCCCCTGGCCCTCGCTCCGTCTAGTTCTAATTGTCCCGGGTTCTTGAGAACTCCGAGGAACCTCTTCCAGCAGTCTCCTACTCCTTGGCCTTGGGTCAGAGAGGGAGGCCAAAGGAGGCCTGGGTTTGGCATGAGAAAGAGGCCAAGTAAGGTTTCATCAGCCCGTTTCTCGCACCCCCACCCCACCCCCGCCCCCAAGTGAGAAGGGAGAGATCATTCTGGCTTTCTGCTCTTTGGCAGGTTGGGAGCAAATCATACCTATTCTTTGACCAAAGACCTTAAATCCAAGGAACGGTTTTTTATGCAATTAACACAGCAAAGGAGTAGCAGAATTAGAGCCCAAGGCAGGTACCCCGTACCCCCACCCCGCCAAGCCAGCCCCAGATCTGAAAGCAGAGAATCTGCTTTCTGTGGCCATAGAGGCGACTTTCCTGCCCTCTCTCCCTTCCTTTTATGCCAGGGAACTCTTAAGTGGCGCTGGGATGGGGTACATTCATTCAGGTTCACCTTCTTCCCAGAAGTGCCCGGGTGCTGGGGAGCCGAGAAAAGGGGTGCCCTGAGCCTGGAGCGGTTTTCCTAAGATGCCTCCCTCTCCAGGTAGCACCTAAAATTGCCCCCTTTCAGCAAGAAGCACCCCTCATTACCCAACCCTGCAGGGTTGTGGAGCTCACCACATTAGGGGGCAGCTTGTGTCCGGGCAGGTACTTGACATTCTCATGCTGCGTGTTGATGATCTCAGTCAGCTTTCTGCCCCCAACTTCTTCCTCAAACACCCACATAGTCACTTTTGGGTCAAAGCGTGCCAGTTGGGCTGCTTTGCTCCCCACAATCTTGGCAATGGCCGAGCCCCTGGCAGGAGGGGAACACAGAAAGTGAAGGAATTTGGGGTGGAAGGGATAAGACCGCAGCAGGGTGCCCCCTCAGGACATCTCAGCTGTCCCCAGGTTACTTGCCAATTTCCTCATCACCCCCATCCCAGTGACAGCACATCCCCGGTGACCTGACAGCGGAAAGGAGACTCGGTCTACCCCAAATCCCACCGCCGAGGGGGCCAGACCTCTGTTCTCCCCACGCACCCCCCAAACCCAAGCAGCCTTCCAAGCAGGGAGCACCGCGGCACCCCTCCTGTGGAACAGGTGCACTGCTCAGCCTGGCAGGGCTGGGAGGGCAGCACAGGCCAGCTGGCAGCACGGAGCAGGGTCCCCCACCCTGTCGGCCTCCTGTCCTCCAAGCCTCCCTTGCATCGCACTGTGAACTTGGGGGAGCCCCCTCTCTCCCCCCACATCCGTGGCAGAGCCGCTTACCAGTTGCCGGAGCCTATAATGCAGACTTTCTTGCCGGCCATGGTGCTGCCGCTCTGTCCAGGCAGGCTCTGTGCCACACTCACTCCTGCCAGCTGGCGGCATTTAACGCCGCCACACTGGGGTGCAGCCAAGCCCCGCCCTCGAGGTGGGTGGGAAGGCGGGCGCCCAAAGAGTTTGAGACTGCCGGGCCAGAGAAAGGAGAAAGTGTTGGGGAATGGGAACAGGCAGACTTCCCTCTTAGGTCAGCCCGCTCATGGTGCTTCTTTCCTTGCCCCGTTACAACTGACTTGTTCCAATTCCTGCCGACGACTGTCAGCAGCCCAGAGAAGACCAAGCGACTGGTCTCCCTCACGCAGACTTCTCTCTCTAGCACTGCAACACTATTTCCTCTGGGGTGGGGGGCTTGGGGGCCACACCTCTTGGTGCTCAGGGCTCACTCCTGGCTCTGTATTCAGGGATCACTCTGCAGGCTCAGGGGACCATGGGGGGTGCCGGGTGTTGAACCCAGGTCAGCTGCATGCTAGGGAGGTACCTTACCCGCTCGACTATTGCTCTGACTCTATGAAACGCATTTACTTAGCCCTGGTAGCGAATACGAGATTTTTTTCCATAGGACCTCCGAAACTGTCATGTAAGTTTGTTCTTAAGTCACAGGGATGTCATTGGTCCTATACTCATTCCTAGCCGAGTTGGTAGGTGAATGAAGTGGGAAGTGATGGGCCAATACTCAGTTGTTTGGGGGGCCACATTGGTGATGCTCACAGGGTCACTCCCAGTGTGGTACTTAGGGAACCATGCTGTGTCAGAGATAGAATTCAGGGCTCTTACATGAAAACCTCCCACCCCTCCCCCCACTTTTTCTTTCGGTCTGGGGTACCCCACCCCTCCCCCCACTTTTTTTTCAGTCTGGGGTACCTCACAGCAAGGCAAGTGTTCTATTGCTAAGCCACACCCCCTGCCCGTCAGGGGGGCACTTTTTTTGGGTCACACCCAGCGATGTGCAGGGGTTACTCCTGGCTTTGCACTCAGGAATTACTCCTGTGATGGGGTGCTGGGAATCGAACCCGGGTCAGCCATAAGCAAGGCAAACCTCCTACCCGCTGTACTATTGCTCCAGCCCCTACGGGCACTTTTAAAGACCACATACAAGGAAGGAGTCTGCTTTGGGTGCCACCCAGACCAAGTGTGAGAGACACCCCAAAAGCCTGGAGACACAAATCCTCTTAGTTACCCCCAGTTGCCTCAGGTTCCCTCTAGTGGGCCTCGCCTCACGTGAATGTCTAAGGTAGAGGCTCCCTGTGCCAAAGGATCCACATTAAGGAAGAGGAAGATAGAGAAAAGCAGCTGGGTGCAGTGTCCTTCAGAGGCTTTGAGCTCCCTTAGTTCTCTCAGGTTTCCAAGCTAAGAACTCCCATGGGTCAGTGTCAAGTTTGCAGAAGCTAGAATGGGGGAGGTAAGAACATGGGGCATTGTGACCGCCGTGGAGCTTTGTGGCTTCACACACTGTGATGATGTGGGTTGCATATTCTGGGACGAGGGGTGAGGAGCATCCACTCCACAGCTGAGGGCTCTCCATCACACACAGCCATCTGCTTGACTGAAAGGGGGAGCTTGGTTTCGAGGCTGATCGGGAGTGTGAGGCAAGAGGTCCCTAGCATTCCAGTTGTCTGCACCTTGGCCTAGAGGGCAGGCACCACTGTGTGCTCACGTGCTGACCTCCTGGCTTGGCAGACTACTAAGTGGGTGTTCCTATTCTCCTGGGTCACTACTGACCCATTAGGGTAATAAACTCTGGGCCAGAGGGGATTCTATGTGCAACCACTGTCTTGGGGTAAATGGGCAGAAGGTCGTCTGAAGAGAAATAATGTTCTGAGTTCTAGAGACTGCTGAGGAAAAGTCCACCATATTCCTCCATGGCTAGCGTTTCCGTATGGCCACACGTACGGATCTGGCAGTTGTTTCTTAGGCACTAAGTACAGATCCAGATTTCCTTAGATCTCTGGTGTTTACTGGCACAAATCACCAGTGTTAGGCAGCCAGCTAGCAGATTACAGGTGATGGAAGAAAGGCTATTCCTGGCCCAGGATGGAAACCCTAAAGAATAACCTAAAGAAGGGGGTAAAAATAACCCCCCTCTCTTCCTCTCAGTGCTTCATCTCATTTATCCCCAACAATTTTTTTTGGTCTTGGTATGTTGTACCCAAACCCTGTGGATACTCAGGGCTTACTCCTGGCTCTGCACTCAGGGATCACTCCTGATGGGGCCTGGGGGACCATATGGGGTGTCTGGGATCAGATCCAGGTCATCAGCTTGTAAGACATGCACCTGCCCACCGTACTCTTGCTCTAGCTCCCCAACAGTCATTTTAAGTACTGGGCAAAGGATTTGTTGGTTTACCAAAGAACAGCATGCAGAATCCAAAGTAGCTTGTCACAGAAGTTATCTATACCATTAGAGCTCTTTTCACAACAGCAAATTGCAGATTTGCTCAAAATTAATAATGGTTCATCAGCCATTCATTACACATGTAATTAGCCTGGGTGAAAACAGATGCTGTTTCAATGTCCTTGATGTTAATATTTTTCCTCACTGGAAAAGCCTCACAATAGTCTTCTCTGCTTTATCTTGTCTGTTAAATCCCCAAGCTCTAAATTACAAGTGTTATATTCTTGGTGAGCCTGATTATCACAGCAGTGTTCTTTTAGTACTGGAGGCAAAAGACTTTGTCTTTGACGGGGGTTCCGAGGCTTGGCCACACCTAACAGTGCTGGGGAACCACGAGGTCAGGGTTAGCCACATACAAGGCAAGCACATAAAACCTGTACTCTCTCTCTTGGGCCCCCAAGGATATTTAAGTTTGGGGCCACACCTGGCAGTACTCGGGAGTGTCGCTTGGGCAGCCACATGGCACAAAGGACTAGATTCATGCTTCCTGCATGCAAAGTATGTGTTCAGCCCATTGAGCAACCTCTAGCCCCAAATGAGATTTCTTTTTTTTTTTCCGCAATTCTTGGGCCACACTTGGCAGTGCTCAGGGTCTATTCCTGGCTCTGTGTTCAGTGACACCTGGCAGCGCTCTTCTTTAGAATTGTATTCTAAATGCCCTTCTTGGGTAAAACAAAGCTATGGAGTAGCACAGAGGAAATTAAGTGAGGCACAGGGTGAAAAGCAGGCTTAACTATGCAAGAATTTCATGCTTTTGCTAACATACCACCTAACTCAAGTCTTCCAAACTCTTATCAGTGAGGGGCTATTTGTCCACTGGATGAGGATATCAATACAACACTACCTTACTGGCTTTAGCATTGTGAAAGAGGACCTTAAAGAATCGGCAGAAGGGGCTGGAAAGACAGTACAGCAGGTAGGGTGCTTGCTTTGCACATGACCTACTTGGGTTCGATTCCTTTTATCCCATATGGTACCCTGAGCACTGCCACGAGTCATTCCTGAGTGCAGAGACAAGAGCAACACCAAGTGTGGTCCAAAAAATGGAAGAAAAAAACAGGCCAGAAAGACAGTATGAGGGGTAAGGCACTTGTCTTGCATGAAGCCAAACCCGATTGTATGCCCAACACCACACGTGGTCCTCTAAGCTTCACCAGTGCCGAGCCAGGAGAAAGTCCTGAGCACTACTGGTTGTGCCCCCAAAACCCCATCAACAAGAACAAAATGGGAAAGAAACTGGCAGACAACAAAAATGTCACTTGCTGTGTAGGCCCTGACCTATAGGCTCAGGCTTGGTGACCTGAGGATCAGGATCGGGGCTGAAGGATCACAGGCACCCAAGGATAACTTACTGAGCCAACAAGGTCCTTAGGGACCTCAATAATAGGACAGCAGTGCCTTCAGAAGAGAAACTACGACTCTAAGATCAACCAGTACCTAGCCTACTTGGATCACTGGGGCTAACGTCAAACTCTAAGGTGAGAACGTGGGGCCCAGTGGTAGAAGTCTTATCTTCCCCTAAAGCCCCAGTAACTGAGACCACAGCTGACATACAGCAAGTGCTCAATAAAAGTCAAAGAAAATGCTCCAATGCCTTGGGCACTGGTATTAGGAGGAGGAAGAGCCAGGAAAGAGCTCTTCCTTCAGCAGGTAGGGGACTCATCCTTCCGAAGGTTCTTTTATTAAAACTGGGTGACATTGATAAGGGGACAGTACAAAAAAAAAATTTGGTCCATGAAAAAAACATAATAATTCAGTTAATAAAAAGTTATCTTCAACAGGGCTATTGTACAGGAGTGCTGCGTTTCCTTCTCATGGTTCCTGCCCCAGCGACAGAGGATGTCCAGTGTCACTAGGGACGGGTGGGACAATGGTAGGAAGGGAAAGACGGAGAAAATTCTGCTGTTCTTAGTGTGAAACAGGGTGGAGGGCTGGGGAGTGTGCTCGCAGGAGCCTGAGGAGGGGTGGGGAAGCAGGGGCTTTGTCAGTTCTGTGGGTTTAGAGCCCAGGATGAACAGAACACCCCGTAAGTGCCCAGCTGTCTCCCACCCTGCTGTGTTGAGTCTGCGAGCCTGGAAAATGATAACTTGGGGGAGATACAACATGGAAGAATCTGGGGCTCTCCTGGAAAGATGCAAAACCATCTCAGTTCCAAGGGGCCGAGATCACACGGTCCTGCTGCTACCTGAGGGGTCTGAAGCTTTAAGGGCAGGGGCTAGAGTCACATTTCTGTGAGGAAGGGAGAGGGGAGAGTCACAGACCCAACTCAAAGCTAGTGTCCAGCCCTAGGCGCTTTCACTCCTCAGTGCCCAAGAAGCCACCCGCGGGTGTCAACTGGGCAGACAAGGGACAGGAAGACAGGGATGGCCCAGGGCTTGTACCCGTTTGATTTTAGGCCTGTTTCTCCATGAAAGGATGGGCTAAGCAGAGTGGAGTGAACGAACGATTACACCTCCATACGACAGCAGGAAGGAACAGTCTCCACCGGTGACGGCAGTGCCCCAGGCTTGATCCCCCAGAGCGTAGACAGGGAAAGGCAAGATTCCCCCACCCAGATGCCCGAGGATCCGGACAGATCGAGGGAATCCTGAAATGAGCAGCTATAGGCAGCGTGCTGGGAGGGAGCGACAGTGAAAGAACAAACTCCAATACTGACGTGGATCCCCTACTAGGGAGAAAGAGAAGCACTGAGGCCGCAGGCCAGTCCGGAGGGCTGGCGAGGGCTGGGACTGGCCTGGGCTCCGTGGAGCCCAGGAGCCAGGTTCCTTTAGCACTAGAGGGCAGGAAGTGGAGGGAGAGTTTGCTCCAATCCTGAGGAGGGAAGGAGGGAAACTGGATCCTCTCATCTGGAAAACCAGGACCAACTAGCTTATACAGGGCCCCCAGGCCTGAGTCTTGGAGAAACGGCTGAAGCTCCCCACTCCTGGGTCTCTGGAGAGCAGGATCAGTGTAGCTGGTCCCCTTGAAGACCACTTGGCCTTAGGCCTAATCCCTTCAGAGCACTGATAACCACTACAGGGTCTCTCTCTCTCTAATACTAACTATAGAGGTCCTTTGTAGACCGGGGCAAGGAGAGGCACGTGGGAAATCCGGGCAAAGGAAGCAGAGGGAGAGAAAGGGGGGAGGGGGGAAGAGGGTGAGAGGTGTCTTATGAGACCGAGTGTGAGACCCTCTTCACTCTGGTGTTGTCCGTAAACCAGCAGCATCCCCCAGAAGGCCCCAAACAAGACCAAGGCGGGCGCTCTGAGGCAGGCAGCACAGGGCCCAAAGAATCGGTGCAGCCAAGTCAAGGCTTGTGGAAGAGGCCCTATGTGTTTCGGATTCCGAGGGCTTGTTCCAATTCTTGCCGTCTCTGCTGCACCTAGAGAGGAATGGTGGAAGGGAAGATGAGACAAATCCAACCGTACTCGCCCCCGTCAGGGGTCACACACCCCTTGCCGTGAATCCGCTTCCCCCAGGCAGCCCAGCACCCACCTTGGAGTAGAAGTATCGGCACACCGCCTCCTGAGCCCAAGGCTGGAAGTAAAACTCAGCTCTGCGCTCTTCCTCAGGGTTACCCACCACATCAGTCATGGTCTAAGGGAGACGGGAGTGGTCAGAGACAACAGTCGTGTTTCCTTTCTTCGGCAGACTGAATTATGCCACCTCCATCTCCAGCCCCTCAAACACAACCCCCTCCTTGAGAACGCGATCTTATTTGGAGATGGGGACTCTTGAAAAAGATCAAGTTAAGACAAGCTCAGGGGCCGAAATGATAGCACAGCGGGGAGGGCGTTTGCCTTGCACGTGGCCGACCCGGGTTCGATTCCCAGCATCCCATAGGGTCCCCTGAGCACCGCCAGGAGTCACTCCTGAGTGCAGAGCCAGGAGTGACCCCTGTGCCTCGCCGGGTGTGATGCAAAAAAAAGAGAAGGTCATAATCCGTCTCTGACTGCTAAACCCACTATAACCGCTATCCACATAAACAGGGTAGAGCTAGAGAGAGTACAAAGCCCACGCCTAGCATGCGGCTGCACCTGGAGCAACAGCTACAACCCTGGTTTGAATCATGGCACCACGAATGTTCCCGAGCCCCACCAGGTGCAGCCCCCAAAAAAAGACAAAGAGGGAACTACGAAGGACCCCAGAGCCCACCAACAGCAAACCGAGACATGCCTGAGGATCCAGAAGCTAGGAAAGAGAAGTCTGCAAGTCCTCCCCAGTCTAAGGAACCAACTCCTGCTGACCCCTTACTCTGATTCCTAGCCTCCAGAAAATAACCTCCTCCAAAGGAAAAATGCAAGTTACCCAGTTTGTGGCACCTGACTATGGGCGGCCCTGACAAACGATCCCAACCCCGAAAGTTGGCCCTGGTATCTAACTCTGCTCAGAGGGAGCCTCCCAGGTGTCTCTGCTTGGCCTCCACACCCAGTAGCCACAGTCGCCACTGAAAGGCAAGAGCTGAGGGCACATTTCACACATTTGTGCTTTCCTTTTTAATGAGCCACCATAAATTGCAAAGTTAGAAAGTTATTCGTGACTGAGTTGCAGTGGCATGTTCCAATACCACCTCGGCAGCATCTACTTTCCTCCACTAATGTCCCCGTTTCCCTTCCAGCCTGCCTGTCTGGCAGGTACTTTTTTCTCCCCTGACTAGTACCGACAGTGCTGCCCTCTCGGGGAAATTCCTCAAATCCCAGTTTTCCATGAGGCCTTCCCCAACTAGTTTACCCTTTCTGATTTCCCTTCTCCTCTGAATTATATGACTGGTAAAGGTCTACTGGGGAAGGCGGGGGGGGGGGGGGGGGGTGTTGGTTTTTTTTTTTCCTTTTACAGTTTACTACCATTTATTTACAGGGGGACGAGTTCCAGCACTCCAGGAGTGTTGGGGGCTATTCCCAGCTCAGTGGCCAGAAATTATTTCTGGCAGTGCTGTGGGGGTTGAGGCAGTATGTGGTACCAGGATCGAGGGACTGGAGAAATACCACAGCAGGCCGGGCACTTGTCTTGCATACGGCTGACCTGGGCTTAATCCCTAGAGCCGCAGAGAGCCCCCCACAAGCCCACGAGGAATGACCCCTGAGCCAGGAGCAAGCCCTGAGCACAACCAGATGTAACCCCACAAACTAACCGCAAAGACAAATCAGTCTAGAAGAAGGCTGCCGCAGCCACATGTAAGGCACCAAGCACCGCATCTCCTAGACTATGGCTCCAGCGTGAGGTTCACGACACTTGAAGTCCTACCAGCCTTGTTCCTTGAAAACAGAGATCAGAATCTCCCACTTTGCTCCCTACCATAGTCTACAGTGACAGCACTACACCGTCAGTGCCAGTGACACCCGAAGTACCTTCTCCTATACAGGAAATCTGGCCCCACACTCCTGCGCCCGCCTCCTCTCGCGCCCTAGCCCAGAGAGGCAAAGCCCGGGAGTGCTGCTTCTCTAACGTTCGCTCCTCTGCGCTTGTACCTTGAGGTCCCGGCACTGGGACTGAAGCCAGTCATTGATGAAACCCTGAGGGTCTCTGGCAAAGCTCAGCATGAACTCTCGCTGGGTCTTCAGCTGATTGATAGTTTCTATTGTCTCATGGATCTGAAAGAAAAAGGAAGGACTTCCAGAGGGGAAAAGCAAGCTGGTGGGGCAGACGGTGACTTTTATCTTTCGAGGTGGAGCGCTGCCCCGAAGGAAACTACTGACACCCCGAGCTCCAGAGCTCCGGCAGCTCCCACATTCTGTCAGCTGATACTTGGCGCTGTGTCTCTAAGCACCCATCATGAAGGAAGCTTTTCTAGGGCTCCTGCGTTCTGCTCTCTGACCTCTTCCCTATATTCTTCCTGGCTCTTTCACCTATTCATCTCGTTCAGTGGGTAGGGCACTACACAGCCAACCCAGTTCAATCCTTGCCACAACATATGGTCCCCCTAGCCCTGCCAGGATTGATCCCTCAGCATATAGTCAGGGGTAAATCCTGAGCACCACCAGTTACGGCTCAAAAACCACCCCCCCCCCCCAGAAAATTATTTGGAGCCCTTCTCTCCAGGACACTTGACACCCCTCGTCTGCTTATTTCCATTCTGAGTCGGAAGTCTTTCGGCTGTCTGCATGCATTACTCTCTGGCTCTTGTGTTATTTTTGTTTCCTTTTGGGGCCACTCCTGGCATTGCTCAGAGCTTACTTCTGGCTCTGCACGCAGGGATCAATCAATCAAGGCTCAGGGACCTACTGGGTGCTGGGGATCAAACTTGGGTCAGCATGAGCAAGGCAAGTGCCCTACAAACTGAAATCTCTCCCCAACTCCTGCTGTTTCCTCTTTTTAGAATGTCTTATTCTCCCTTGTGTTAACTCCCACTTTATCCATCAAGATTTAGTTAGGGCTGGAGCGATAGCACAGCGGGTAGGGCATTTGCCTTGTACACGGCCGACCCGGGTTTGATTCCCGGCATCCCATAGGGTCCCCTGAGCACCGCCAGGGGTAATTCCTGAGCACAGAGCCAGGAGTAACCCCTGTGCATCACTGGGTGTGACCCAAAAAGAAAAAAAAAGATTCTAGGCGTCAAACCCTCCTTGTTCTTTGTGTTATCAAGCATTTTTGGCTCTGCCTGCATCAAGTACATCTGATATTCACAGTAATCCTACAGAGAACAGTGGTAGCAATCACCATTTGTTTTCATAGACGACACAATGCCCTAGCTTTGTACATGCGGTCTAATTTAATGCACATAGCCATCTGAATAATGGGTACTGTGATCTCAATCTCAAGAGATCCAAAACTGAGGTTCATGGCTACCAAAAGCCAGACAGAACCGTGTGTCTGGTTCAACCAGCACTAAGCATTGTGCATGGGTGTCAATATGTATTAGGGATTTGGGGGGAGGGGGCATTTTGATGTAGTGCCAGGACAGAACCCAGGGCCTCACACAGGCAAGTGCCCTACCACTGAGCTAGATCCCTGGCCCCTATGGATGACAGTGTATCTGAGCGAATAACAAAAATCAAAAGGGGGCCTTGGCGCTACTACAGAAAGCTGGTGGCACACAAACCCTTACCTTGTTGTCTAATGTAGCAATTTCCTGCTGGCTGGCAGTAGAAAGCAGAAAAGAATTCATCTGGGTCTTTAAGGTATCATCTACTTCCACATCAATGTCATAACAAGCAGTCTTTTTCTGATCATTAGGGTCAACACTAGAAAGGAAATCAAAGGGAAGAAGTAAAGGGCTTGTGGTTTCTTTTTTTTGGGTGGGTGGGGCACATTTGGTGGTGCTCAGGGTTACTTCTGGCTCTGCACTCAGGGATCACTCCTAGAGGGACTCGGGGGATCATACAGGGTGTCAGGGATAGAACCCAGGTAGGCGACATACAAGACAAGCACCCTGCCCGCTGTACTATCTCTCTGGCCCTTAACATTCTCTCTTAAGACCTCATTTTCAGCTCAGGGGATGCAAGAGGGCCGGAGAGTATGGCAAGCAGGTAGAGCATTTGCCTTGCACACAGTCGGCCAGATTCAATCCCCAACACCACATAGGACCCTCCACACCCTGCCAGGAACGGTCCCTGAGCACAGAGCCAGAAGCAAGCTCAGAACACTGCTGGACCCCAAACAAAACAGAAACAAAAGAAAAAAAGGGATGACCTAAGAATGAAGGGGAAGAGGCAGAGAGAGCTCAAAGGGCTGAGGGTCTGCACTGATAGAGGAAAACCAGGTTTGGTCACCCCAAGTACCACTGAGGACAGCTCCAAAACAAAGATAAACAAGAAGAAAGAAAAAGACATTGACTGCAGAAAGACAAAAGCCAAAAAGTTTCTGGGTGTGACAGAAAGATTTGTACTTTCCTTAGTAGTATCTATGTGGTGTACACATTTTTTTTTTTTGAGGTCATACCTGGTGGTACTCAGGGCTCACTTCTAGTTCTATGCTTAGGGATCACTTCTGGCAGGGCTCAGGTCCCTGTGGTATGCAAATTTGCCAAGGACATCAAGTTACACTTTTTTTTGTTTTTGTTTTGGGGTTATACACCTAGTGCTGATCAGGACTTACTCCTGGCTCAGTTGTCAGGGATCATTCCTGGCAGACTTGAACCTAAATTGGCCTTTTGCAAGGCAAGTGCCCTACCCGCTGTACTATTGCTCCAGCTCTTCTAGTTACACTTGAAATTTAAATGGTTTATTATAAATAAACCCAACTTAAGCTGATATTTTAAGAAATTGAGGGGTGGAGGGGCTAGAGACAGTACGAAGGATAAGGCGGGGCTGGTATGATAGTATAGCGGGTAGGCTGTTTGCCTTGCACGCGGCCAAACTGCAAACTGGGTTCGATTCCCAGCATCCTATATGGTCCCCCGAGCACCGCCAGGAGTAAATCCTGAGTGCAGAGCCAGGAGTAACCCTGTGCATCACCAGGTGTGACCCAAAAAGCAAAAAAAAAAAAAAAAAAAAGATAGGGCATGTGACATGTATGTAGCCTAGCATGCGACTACAGCCAGGACCCTGGGTCCAATCCTAGGTCCTGCATGTGGTACTCTGAGAACAGTGCCAGGAAGGTCTGAGTACTGCTGGGTGTGACCTGAAAATACAAAGAAAATTTTTTTTGGGGGGAGGAGAGCCATGCCAAAGGACCATGTAGAACTACGCTGAGGGCCGAATCCAAGGTTCCCACCTCTAAAACATGTGTTCCATAAGTAAAGCATACGTGCTCAATGAGCTCTCTCCCAGCCCAGCGAAAAAATTTTATGGTACCAAGACAACTCCCTCTCGGAGAGCCCGGCAAGCTACCGAGAGTATTCGATATGCCAGACACAGTAACAACAAAGTCTCCAATGGAGACGTTACTGGGCCCGCTCGAGCAAATCGATGATCAACGGGAGGGCCTTTACCTTTACCTTTACCAAGACAACCAGTGAAAATCTCCTTCCTCCCCAAAGGAAAGCACTTTAGTACATTGTGTATCTTTCTCCCTGATAAAACTGACTTAAAATTGGGGCCAAAGATAGGGGAGCAGGTAAGATGCTTGCCTTGCATGTGGCAGACCTGGGTCTGGTCCCCAGTATCCCATACGGTTCTTTGTGAACAATGCCAGGAGTGAACCCTGAGCATCACTGGGCAAGAACAAAACAAAGACCCTGAAATCAATTCAGATACAACATGTAAAACAAAATGAAGTGAAAAATGGCTAACTCTCAGGGGCCAGAACAAGAATACAATGGGCAGGCACTGGCCTTGCATCAGGCCAACCCAGGTTCAACCCTCTGCACCCCATACGGTCCCCTCAAGCCCATCTGGAGTGATCGCTGAGTGCAGAGCCAGGAGAAAGCCCTGAGCACCAATGGGTATGGCTCAAAAACTTAGAAGAAAAAAATGGCTAACTCCCTCCCTCACCCTGGTTTTGGTGCCACTCCTGAAGGTGCGCGGGGCTTTTGGCTCGGTGCTCAGGGGACCATAAGGAATGCCAAGGGTCATGTAAAGCAAGTGTGCTACCCACGAAACAATCATTCCAGCCCCCAGAATTATCTCTTAAAAACTCATTAAATGGGCTGTAGGAGTCACTCTTGGCTGAGTGAGGGTTCAGGAACCTTAATTGAACTAATAAGGGAAAGAGGGGCAAGAGATTACATCCGGCCACACAGATATGCTGCTTTGAGAAATTATGCTCTTCCCTCCCCGTCTGATCAGGGCTGCACTGCCCCTTTATCTCCTAAACACTAAGCAGATAGTAGAAGCGGCTGGAGCCTCAGCTCGAAATGTCCCGCCATCCCAAGAAAAATGGCAGCGTACTGATAGTTCCACAAAAGACACTAACACTTTGTCAAAAAGAGGAAGAAGGCCAGAGTCACAGTACTGGGACAGAGCGCCTGCCTTGCGCTGAGCCAACCTGGGTTTGATCCCCAGCACTCCATATAGTCCCCCAGGCACCTCCAGGAGTAATTCCTGAGTGCAGAGCCAGGAGTAACCCTTGAGGATGGCCAGATGTGGCCCAAACACAAACAAAAAGAGGAAGAGGAGGGCAAAAACCTGATACACAGCACTTGCTTACTCCTCAGAAGTTATGAAGGAACTTAAGAGTAACAAATCATTACAGCAGAATATTTTTATTATAAAGACATAGTTTTGTAGCCTGAAAAGCACAGCTACTAGTAAAATGTGCTAAAGTAGTAAAGAATTCGTTTTGAATATTCTTACTGTAATTTTGCCCACCGGAGTGATAGCACAGCGGTAGGGCGTTCGCCTTACAAGCGGCCAACATGGCCGACCCGAGTTCGATTCCTCCGCCCCTCTCGGAGAGCCCGGCAAGCTACCGAGAGTATCTCGCCCGCACGGCAGAGCCTGGCAAGCTCCCCGTGACGTATTCGATATGCCAGACACAGTAACAGCAAGTCTCATGATGGAGATGTTACTGGGCCCGCTCAAGCAAATCAATGAACAACGGGAGGACCGTGACCGTGACTGTAATTTTAAAAACATCTGTAAATTTATACAATTTTACTTTGAGATTTCTGGGCTACACCTGGCAGTATTTAAAGGTTAATCCTGCTCTAAGCTCACGAGAGACTCCTTAGGGTGGTCAGGGGGTCTACGTGGTACAAGGGATTTAAATCAGGGTCTACCATACCTACACAGCAAGGACCTTATCTCCTTTCCTTTTGGCATACAATTTTATGTAAGGATTTCTCTTATATTTTAATTGTATTATTTATTTGGCCACACCTGGTGGTGCTCGGGGCTCAGGGATCACTCCTGGCAGTATTTAGGGTACCAGGGATTGAACCTGGATCGGCCACATACAAGGCAGAAGCCTTACCCATTGTACTCTCTCTGGCCCAACAATGAGCTGTTTTTCAAACAATGACTTGCAAATCCCTGAAAATCTGACAACTGGCTCATACGAGCTGGCAGAAGTCAACTTTGCCTCCCTGGACAAGCCTACCTGATGACATGATTGATGATAATGGGCTCTGGTGGCATGAGCAAGGCATGGAGCCGTTGGGGGATCTCTGAAAACTTCATGCGCTGAGACTCAAAGATCTGTGAAAAAGAGGAAAAGCAGCTTAGAAACGGGCTCTTTGAGAAAAGCAGTATACCAGTGGATTCGAGTAAAATAATGGAACGTTTTCTTACCTGCTGAAGGTATTTGTCACAGATGACAAACTCCCGCTCATGAGGGTCCTGCAGCTTATGTGTCTTAATATACTGCCACAGTGCTTGGATGATCACTGGACGGGTCTGAGTGTGTATACCCAGGAGTCGAGCCAGGCGAGGGTCTAATTTAAATTGCGGAGGCTGTAGAGAACCGAAGATCATCAAAATGAGGTGAGTGACTTGGGTCCAAACACAATTTGGGGTACTTTACAATGCCTTACGTTCAAGCAGTGTAAGACTAATGCAGTACTTTTTCTTCTTTTTGGGGAATTGGGGTCTTGGGGTGGGACTTGGGGTCACATATAGTGGCAGTGCTTCGGGAGTTTTTCCAGCAGTTCTTAGAGACCATATCGTCCTAGGGGTCAAACCTAGGGCTCTTGTATGCAAAGAATGTGCACCCTGACTCAATGTAGTACTTTCATGGCCAGGGAGGTAACTCAAAATGCTGAACACATGCCTCACACACAGACACCTGACTTCAAGTTTTGGCACTGTATGGTCCCCCCCAAGCACTGCTGGGCCCATAAAGCACCAAGTTGAATAGTACCAGGTGGCCCCGGCACTCCCTGAGCTTAGGAGAAACCCTCCCCTTGCCCCCAAAAAAATTAAGGAGAAAAAAAAGAGTGGGGCTTTCTCCAGGCCAGGAAAACACACAGGATGCTGCTAAATCCAATGGACAGGAACCCAGAGATAAGTTAAACCTCTATCACTGGGGGCTGGAGCGATAGCATAGTGGGTAGGGCATCTGCCTTGCATGCAGCGACCAAGGTTCGATTCCCAGCATCCCATACGGTCCCCTGAGCACCGCCAGAAGTGATTCCTGAGTGCAGAGCCAGGAGTAACCCCTGAGCATTGCCAGATGTGACCCAAAAGGAAAAAAAAAAAGAAAAAAAAAACACACAACTCTATCACTGTATTAGGCTGCTTAAAATCTCGTAGCACAAACTGCCTCGGCACCTTTTAAGCACATTAATGGCCATGACCCAAAGATTTACAAATAAATCTCAAAAGAGAGCCATAAGCTGCAGAGATGCCTCCAGACTCCGTGCCAGGCTGTCTCATCTGGGGCATCCTAGAGCGGGGCAGGTGAGCCCAGTATGTTGGTACCCTAACAGCGCCCCAGCAGCTGATAACTTCCAGAACCCAACTGCCACCATGCTCACAGCCAATCTCCACTCTTGGGGGAGAATGAGAATGAATCTGCTGAAAGATCCAGGTATGCGAGATTCGTGACCGAAATTTCCAGGCTCTCACGGAGCTGGGAATGGGCAACCTCCCCCCATCTCCCTGTTCTTCTGGGAGCCTGGAAGTTATGTCCATGAACTGCCTCTGGAGCCACACAAACTCATCAATATCCATGACCCAGAGACTCACAAATCTCAGAAGACAGCAACAAGCTGCAGAAATGCCTCCAGACCCCAAAGTCATCATCCAGTTAAAATTCAACTCTATAAAATTTGAGAATTCCTGGAGACATCCCATACTCTACACCGCACACCGCATTGGATAGGGTGTAAACTGGAAGGCAACCATAGATCTTGATCAAAAAAACACTAGCACACAAGGCTCAACCCGTAACATGAAGTCAGTAAGTTAGTAATCTCTTATACAAGAGCGTAATGTCTCCAGCATAAGCTACAACAATCTTCACACTCTCCTCTAAGGAAATTTTTTGGATCATTTTTAGCGATTATTCACAACAAGCAATATAAAATATTTAGGATCTGCCTTGGGGGCAGGCTTGGGTGGTGGTGGGAAAATTCAAAATAATGGTGGTGGGATTCTTGTTGGAATATTAAATGTAATAAATTACTGTCAACAAATTTATAAAAATAAAAAAACCTTTTAAAAAAATGATAATAATATAGTCTGGTAGCAAATTGGTCCACTTGTCCACTAGAATTAAACTTTATTGGGGGGGGGGGTGTCATACCCTGTGATGCTCAGGAGTTACTCCTGGCTCTGCACTCAGGAATTATTCCTGGCAGTGCTCAGGGGATCATACAGGATCCTGGGGATTGAACTTGGATTGGATGCGTGCAAACACCCTACCCACTGTAAATCACTTCGGCCCAGATTTAAACCTTTTTGTTACATTTTTTTTTTGGAAGGACCTTACCCTGTGGTGTTCAGTGGGATGTTTGGTCACAGATATTAACAGGATACAAAGCAAGTGCCTTAACCCCTATACTACTTCTCTGGCCCCCAGATTTATACACTTTTGTGTGTCTGTGGCAGAGGGTAGGGGTGGTATAGCCAGGGTTTCATACATGCAGAGCATACGTTTTAACACTGAGGGATATTTATAATTCTACTTAAGACTTTTAATTTGCCCTTTTTTTTGGGGGGGGGGGGTGGCAGCTGGGTGTGGCAGTGGAAGGGAAGAATCCCCAGGCAGAGCTCAGGAGTTATTTCTGGCTCTGTGCTCAGGAATGACCCCTGACAGCACTCAGGAGACTATAAGTGGTGCCAGATTTGAACCAGGTTTGGCAGAACGCAAGACAAACACCTTGACCCCTATCTCTGGTCCTTTTAAATATCCCTCGCTTTTCAATACTGGACTGCTAACAGAAGATGACTATGAAGGCTAACCCCCCTCACATCACATTACAGAATACCTGGTAATCCAACATCAGTAGAACAGTACACCGTACATTCACGTCTCCTGGTCGCTTCACCTGGAAGCCATCCGTCTCCTGGGTAGTGGCGGTCCTGTGCCACTACAGAGAGGAAGATGTCAGGGGGTGCTCTCCCAGAGGAAGAGCTGGGTGGGAGGGAAGAACTTCTGTAGTGACTGAATATTCAACTTTGATTATGAGGCTATTGGAGAAGAGCAATAGTATGAGATATTTTAAAAAACTGAAACAATTTTGGGATTGTCTGCATTGCAACTTTTTCTCTCTCTTTTTGGTTTTTGGGCTATACCCAGCAGTGCTCAGGTGTTATTCCTGGTTCTGAATTCAGGGATCACTCCAGTGGGCTCAGAGGACCATATGGGCTGCCAGGGATCAAACCCAGGTCAGATGCATGCAAGGCAAATGACCTACCTGCTATACTATTGCTCCAGCCCCTGCATAGCACCTTTTCTGACTAATTAGGGTCACACGTGAACTAGTGTGAATTTTCAGTGATAATTTTATCTGCAAAATGGAAAACTGTGCATAGCAAAAATACTTAGCTGTTACTTACTGATACCATATTTAAGCATATTCTCAGGCATTTTCTTGGATTTATTTATTTTTCTAGGATTAATTCCTACAGTAGCCATCCAAGATAGATGCAATTAAACCTATGTTACAGATTTTTTTTTTTTTTTTTGCTTTTTGGGTCACACCCGGCAATGCACAGGGGTTACTCCTGGCTCTGCGCTCAGGAATTACCCCTGGCGGTGCTCAGGGGACCATATGGGATGCTGGGAATCGAACCCGGGTTGGCCGCGTGCAAGGCAAACGCCCTACCCGCTGTGCTATTGCTCCAGCCCCATATGTTACAGATTTTAAAACAAAAACAAAAACACTAACACCCAGAAGAGTGAAGTAATTTGCCTAAAGTCAAACAGCCAGTTAGTGGTATAGCTGCAACATGAGCTTTGTTGTGTCGGATTCCACAGTCCACACTTGGGGAGGAGCGAGAAGGGGGGGACACAGGACACGCGACATCCCCCGTGACGCTCAGGGCTTGCTCTGGGCTCTGCGCGCAGGAATTACTTCTGGTGGTGCACATGGGGTGGACCATATGGGATGCTAGGGATTGAACCTAGGTCGACCCTGCATAAGGCAAGCAAGCACCCTACCCACTAAACTATCACGCTGGTTCCTATATGATATTCTCAGCCATTATGCCTACTGGTATAAAGTGAAATTTATAAATTATTATTGATCCTATGATTTACATCCCTTATTAGATGGTGTAGACCTTCCCATGTCTCTAAGGGTTGAGGTTAAGGGGCTGCAGCTGACCTGGCAAAAAAAGGAGCAGGTTTGGGGCCAGAGAGATAGTAGAATGGAGAGGGAGTTTGCCTTGCACATGGCCAACCCAGGTTCGATCTCCAGCATCCCATATGGTTCCCAGAGCCAGCCAGGAGTGATTCCCAAGCACAGAGCCAGGAGTAACCCCTGAGTATCACCAGGTACAGCCAAGAGAGAGAGAGAGAGAGAGAGAGAGAGAAGTTCATTTGGAGAATGTCTCATTCTGGTTTTGACTGTTTCCCATAGAATACTCGCTAACACGATCTTCAGAACATTGTGTAACACAGGTGTCAAAATAAGGATTTTTGTTGATTTGGAATGTGACTCTAGACGAATCAGAGATGAACAAGAAGTCTAGATCTATAAAGGTACCTTGGCAAAGACTAATTAAAGCCCTTTATTACACAGTTGCTTCTAAGCCAAAAATGTAACTGGTATCTGGATAACTACACCTCACCGTTATTAAGATGCAACTAATGCCTAGCATACATAAGAGGCCGCTACTAAAATTTCTTTTGGAGTGGGAGGAAGTAGCCTGGATAGTAACATTTAAAACGGTGGGATAAGTCAAACTGCAACAGAGCTTTTTTGGGGGGGCGAGGGTGTCACACAGTCCCAGAACTAAACTCAACTAGTGCCACCTGGAGGCCAATATGCAAACTTGCAATGGTGGCAATACATACCTGGGGGTAACCCTTTATACCTCCCCAACTGCCTAGACATTCAAGCCCACCATCTTCCGGTCTGAAGAATCAAGGCCTCGGGGTTAGAACTACTCACTTCTACCAGATGGTTGTCTGGCCCGTACAGGTCTTTGTCCAGTTCGATTACCAAGGACTTAAAAAAGGAAGAGAACTTCCTCTTTTGTTTGGTGGCATCATATTTGGACAGGGCTGACTATAAGAGAAAGAGAGCAGAGGTCATGTTAGAAAAAGCCAGATTAAAAAAAAAAGTCAGAAAGAATATTACCCAAGACAAAATCCCATAAAAAAGGAATACACAATAGCAAAGGTAAAGAGGCAAAAAACGGTATTTCTTTGGAAATGGCAAGGAGTTGGGTATGAAACAAGTCAGTCATGAAACAGCCCAAAACATGGAAAGGGTCAATGCCTCGCCTGCTTCACTTCCCCTTATAGGAAGCAAGGCAGGGTAAGCCAAAACACTGCACATACAAGGCAAATCTAAACACAGAAAACTCTGGCTCTAGAGGGGAAATCAATCAGGGACTAAGCAGTCAGAACAAAAAACGCTTTATTTGGACGGAATGACAACACCAGCAGATGGACTAGAACTATAAACTAAAAGGAGGCACTGACACTAAGCCCTAGCTCTCCTGCAAAAAAAAAAAATTCAAGTCAGCTAGCTTGTGAACAACTAAAAATAGAGCACTAAAAGTTAAGGGAACGAGAGGTGAGTTTCTCCAAGGAGCCTCTGGGGTGGGAAGTTTGAAGGCTATCATCTGTCCGCTGATGCATGAAGCAACAAAGACCCTGTCACAGATACACTCCACCAAAACAATGCTATCTCAATGAAAACTGGGAAGATGGAGATGCCGTGGCTGGAATTAAGCACCCCAAGGACTCAGGGAAATGCAATGGCCTTAAGTGACTGGAAACAAAAAACCCTAATTGAATAACTGCAGATGCTGCTAAATCTGCTGGCCTAAAGCATCAGGAGGAAGGTACACAACCAATCAAACCCCAGGACAGTAAGGTTCTGGATATGCTACCGCGGTGAGGGCCAAACTGTGGGAGCCAGATACAAAGGACCATTGTCTGTCAGGCCAGGGAACACAGCGATCCTCTCCTTGCTGTTCCCAACAGGAGCTGTGAGCACCCGTCAGGCTTCCTGCCAACCGACAGCGCTGCTCATTCCCAGCAGCTCCCACCCGAATACAGAGCACAGGGGACCTTAAACTCACATCCTCCAGGAGCCGTCCTTCCACCCGAAGTTCCCAGGAAGCCACTGTCCCTTCCCCATCCTCGGCATCTGACTTTGCCGGGTTGAAAGTGTTAGAAATGAAAATTCGCAGCTTCCGTTTTTGCTGGGGAGGGCAGAAACAAGATTGATGGCGGGGCTTCAGTGGTTGCATGCTGAAGGTCAGTGTTGCTCAAAACCCCAAATCAGACCCATCCGACCAACTACTGCCCACCCAGGCCCCAGGTCGGATGGATGGATTCACTTGAGGCATTTAGCCCGCGAGCCTGAGGGCGAGGGCACCCCAGGGCGAGGGGGCCGAAGTAATGCAGGGAACCAGGATCCCAAGGGGGCAGAACAGTCTTAGCAAAAACATGGAAAGCGTGTATTTCTGGTGCAAGAACAATCCATCCCTCCCCCTTTGCTGTTCTGTTCTTAGGCTTCTAGCGCAACTCTCAGTTTGTAGGCGGCAAGGAGAACTGTAATTTAAATGCCAAGGGAAACTGTGCTAGGAATCTGATTTCCCTAAGCCTGTGGAAGGTGCCCGACTCCTCTCCTTCGGCCTGCCGCTCGTGTTCACCTGCATTACCTTAATGGGACGTTTCAAGGCCTCCTGGATATCTAGCCTTTTCCTCATGATAGTCTGGTCCAACTTCCTTTCAAAAGCCAAGAGGTCCATATAGGCCTGGGATTCTGGTACCAGTTCACGAATCTTGGGAACAGAAAACGTCATTGGGAATCGCAGCGGTTTTCCCTCCCAAACTCACCCCCCTTCTCCAACAGACCCCCGACAGCCTGGACTCACCCTCTGAGGTAGAATTTTGTCAGCCATCTTCTTCTTCTTTGCACTGTTTGGAATAAATACTGTTATCAGGTTGGGATGGAACTAGCCGGAGCATGCCAGGCCACCTGCAGCGGAGCGAACGCAGGGTTTCTCCCAAATTAAAGATCACCCACACCAATGCCGAGGACGAGGCAGTCTGGGGAACGAGCACCTCCACCCCTCCTGGTCCGGGAACCCCGCACCCACCCGTGCCCCGACCTGTGCCTCCCCCTCCCGGCCCCTGGACCCCTCCTCTTACTTGTGGTTTCGATTCTGGACCGCCTGCTGCTGGACCTGCTGAATCTGCTGCGGTGCAGGTCTCTTGCGGGACTGGTCCATCCCCGACTGGGCCAGGCCCGGCCGGACGGAAGGGTTCCCCCCATAACCAGGGGGTCCCATGGAAGGTCCCTGAGGTGCCAGTCGGCTGCCTGGCAGCATACCTGGTCTCTACGGAAGGGAGAGGACCCAGAGATGTCACGGCCCGGCGGCCCCGGCCGGACCCCTCCCCCCAGAAAGGGAAAGTGGGGGGGGGGTGCCTGCATCCTTTGAATGAAACCGGGCTGGGGGTGGGGTGGCAGACAATGGGAGGAAAGCTCTCCGCCTGAGTTCGGGGAACCGGGCCCCGAGGGGAAGGCGCAGCCGGGGCATCCTCAGGACCGATTTTACACCTCGGCTGGTCCCGCCTCGACCACCAGCTGCTACCTTCGAGTCCATCGCAACGTGCCCGCGCCCCCTCCTGGGCGCCTCTGGGCGCGCGGGGGGCTGCCCCGGCTCTCCTGCCCACCCCCCTCGGGGGGCCCTGGTGGTCCTGACTCCTGCCCCCCCCCCCCCCGGAAACAATCACTCCGGCGCCGCGAGGGATGCTCGGCGCGGCGCCCCCCGCCCCGCCCCGCCCGCAGCCGGCGCCCCTCCCCTCCCCCACCCGCCTCCCGGCCCCCGGCCCCGCCCCCGGCCGCGCGCCCCTCCTCCGGCCCCGCTCACCGGATAGGCCGCCCCGGGCATCGGCGAGCGGTACAGCCCCTGCCCCGGCGCCGGGCCCATCCGCACCGGAGGCCCCGGGGTCCCGCCCGGGCCCAGGGCGGCCGCCGCGCCCGCCCCGCCCGAGGCCCCGGCGCCGCCGCTCGGAGCCACGGACTGGAAACCCGCCCGGGCCGCCATCTTCGCCGGAGCCGCGGCTGCAGCTGCACAAAGAACCGGAACCGGAACTCCCCCCGCCCCCCGCGCGCCCCCCGCGCGCACGCCCGTCCGTCCGCCCGCCCGGCGGGCGCGCCGGCACGACGGGCGCGGGGCAGCGAGACGCGGGGCTAGAGGGGGGCGACTAGCCGGCAGCCGGCCGGCCGCTCCCTCCCGCCTTCGGGAGTCGGGCGGGGGAGACCATAGAGAGGCGCTCCCGGCGAGAGGGGCCGCGGGGCGGGCGCCCCCTGGCGGCCGGGAGGACGGCGCCTCGGACCTGGAGAGGAAGAGCCCGGTCCCTAACCGAGTCCTTTGAGGAGGGGATGCGTCGTCTCCGTTACAGACGTGGACGAGCAGTCTTTTTTTTTTTTTTTGCCTTTTGCCTTTTGGGTCACACCCGGCGATGCTCAGGGGTTACTCCTGGCCCTGCACTCAGGGATTACTCCTGGCCGTGCTCGGGGGACCCTATGGGATGCTGGGGATCGAACCCGGGTCGGCCGCATGCAAGGCAAACACCCTACCGCTGTGCTATCGCCCCAGCCCCGGAGTAGCAGTCTTTCCAAAGCACTTTAGTTGATTTTCGTTTTTCTTACGGTGATAAGCCCGGGGGGTTGTAAATGGAATAAACACACAATGTTTGTAAGCTGAACTCAGAAAGTGACTGGGTAAAGGTCAACCAGTAAGTTTTCAGTAAGCCCCCAACCTACATCTTCTACCTAGTTCATCGCCCAGGTTCATTCCGCAGATGAAGTGCCTCAGTAACTACCTCATGCTAGAACCCAGCTTGGAACATTTAAGCTAACCCGCTTCCAGATTTTTTTTTTCTTTTCCTTTCCTTTCTTTTAGATGAGAAACAGCTTTGGCCATGTCCTGTGGTGCTCCAGGACCGTATGGTGCTGGGGTCCACCACATGCAAGGCAAGGGTCCTCCTGCCCTATTCACCGGCCAGGCAACTCCAACCCTAAGTTCAGCGTATTTTGAATTTTGACCCTGTTTCCCTCCAGAGAAGTCCCTTGTGTTGGGGACAATGTTGTCTGTGACCCATCCCTCTTTTCCTACTCTGTAGCTTTAGGCTTTCCTGCGTGATGGTCCACTTGTCCCACCCCAGGGGTACCAGTGTCTCCCTGCTCAAAGCTTTAAACCAAGCTTAGCTCTCGGCACCGCACGAGAAGGCCTGAATACTTATCAAGTAAGAGGAAGACGACACCAAAGAGGAAATGTTTGAAACCCAGTTTATTAGACCAGAGGCATGCGTCACCCATAGCCCTGCCTGCTGTTCTCCTGCTGTGTGCCCGTCGGCCTTGCTCCTGCTTCCCTCTGGAGAGATTCTGGTCTCTAAGGAAGAACTAAGGAGCCAACACTTCCCAGTGATCCCAGACCCACTGATGACCTGCCCCGGGTGCTGTTCTAGGTTGAAGAGACAGATGGGCAGAGAAAGGCCTGGGAGAGGCAGGGCTCTGGCCCTCATGCCTGATGGAGGGGCCGTGGCAGGTCCAGCACCTCACTTGTCCCTCGTTAAGGTAGAAAGGGACAGAATAGAAGAAATTTCAGCGTAACCTCTAGGCCTCTTTCCTTCCTCTCACTGCAAGCCCTACCTCGCCAGGATACAGAAGTGGTGGGCTCAAAGATTGGGCAAGGAAAGGAGCTGGGCACCCGGGAGGGCAAGGCCACCGAAGGCCCCTTCCACCGCTTCTGCCAATCAGCACATGCCGCTCCGCCTGCGGGCGCCGCTGTCTCAGACACCCCTGGCTGAGCGCACAGGGCCCATCTCCATGGTGCGGGTGCGGGTGCTCGGTGTGACGAGCCCTTCCCGAGGGAGGCGGTCATCGGCCAGGTAAAGAGCATTGGGTTGGGTGGGGCCGGGAAAAGGCTGTTAAGGCCGCAGAGCAGGCGGGGAGAGGGTGCCGGGCCAGGGGGTACGGTGAGTCCAGAAAGAGGCAGAGCTTGTGATTCACAGCTTCCTTTATGTCGCCACCGAGACAGTGCGAAGGTTACAATGCGTGTGTCGTCTCCTTGTGCTTCTCAGAGGGATGTGTGTACACAGTACAGACACCAGGGGAGAGAGTCAACTCTTTATACAGGCGAAGGCATTCAGAGACCGAGGAGGGGCCAGGGAGGGGGATGGGGACAGAAACATAGAAAGGGGACGAGGTGGAGCGTGGTTCTCGGAGACAAGAGGGCATGGGGCGAAGACAGACAGTCGGGGGAAAGTATATACAGAGATATAGCAATATAGAGTCTGTATCATATAGAAATAGAAAATGCAGATGAGGTTGTCGAGAGAAGCAGATGAAGTGGGGCAGGGGACTGGGGAAGAGTTCCATAAGAAAATTTATGGACTTGGACCCTGTGCAGGGGTCCCGGGAGAGAGCCCAGTGAGGCCAGGCACAGGTGCCCCTCCCTGAGCTGGAGGCCGACCAGCTGGATCTTCCGTGGGGTGGCATCGAGGCTGCCTTTGGGGGCTGCTCTCTGGCAGCCAGGCTGGGATGTGGACTGGACCGTTGATGTCAGGATGTGGCCTACAGCACCAGGGCCGCATCTTGTCCCCGTCTGTTCCTCAGGGGATCCTCCATCCCCCCCCCTTCTCAGCATTGGGGAGAGGACTTAGGCTCCTAGTTCCTGCCTGAAGACGTGGGGGTTGAGGGGTCACTGGGCTAAAAGGGTCTCTTAAGGCTGGGGAAGCCCCCCCACAAACTAGCCCTCCCCTTCAAGGTACATTCTCTGATTTGGGGTCAAACACCAGACCCCAAGGATGCCCTCCACCACCACCCCCCTCGGGAGGGGTTTTGGTGACTCGTGGCAGCTGGATGTGGGTGGGACACACAGGCGAGAGAGCCGGACAGACAGAACTCAGGCTGGGGCAGGGGGTGGGACGGCATGGAGCGAGAGGGCCGCCAGGGCTCGCTTCCGGGCTCTCTCTTCTTTCGATTAGTTTAGTTTTGTTAAACATAAAAAGAACGGGACCGAGACAGGGAGAGGACTGGCACTCCTTCCTCACCACACTCAGGAGGAAGGAGCTCGCCCAGGAATGGGGGGCTGCCTGGGGAGTGGGGGGAGTCCCCAAGGCAGGTGTGAGGGGCAGCTGGGGGCCCCTTGCTCTCCTCGCTCGCCCCCTCTAGGCCTTTGGTACAGCGACCTGCGGGGCCTAGCAGGTAAAGTCCTCGAAAGTGCCTCGCGCGGGATGATGAGGTAGGATGTTGGCCGCGTACGTCATCCCGGCCGGGTGGCCCCGGAGGCTCTCGCACGGGTTCTGGGGGAACAACAGCACGGGCAGGCTCGTGTTACAGCGGGACCCCTTGGGTGGGCGCAGGGAGAGGCGAAGGGGCAATGCGGGCAGGAAAGGGGGTGGGGGGCACCCCCTCTTGCTCCCTCACGTGTCTCTTGACGTCATCCAGGCTGAGGGCCACGCCCTTGTCAGCGCTGCTCCTTTTGGCCTCCTTCTGGCACTTCCCGCGGCGGCACAGTTTGTGCTTTATCACCTGGGACAGGGGGCGGTGTGGGCAGGTAAGACCCCTCTCTGCACCCCGTGGGCCCACGCCCGCCCCGCGGCCTCCCCCTCACCTCGTAGGCGTAGTCGAAGAGCTCCAGCACTGTGAGGATACTGGCCCCGATGAACAGCCCCATCTGGCCCCCAATGTCACCTGCAGGAGGAGGCGGGCAGGGAGGTCAGTGGGACCCAGGTACCGATCGCGGGCACCAGGGGCCAGGCCTGTCCCACTGGCAAAGGGGTTGCCCGTTTTCCTGCAGTAGGCCCAGAAGCCCACCTGCAGGCCTTCTGCTCTTGCCTGCTTTTTTCTAAAATGAAGCGGGTCATTTGGAAAGAAATCATTGTTGGCACAAGAGCTCAACTCAGTCTCAGGGCACACTTCTCAGAATATGGTCACTCCTACCCCCCTTGCCCTGTTCTGTACCAGGTAAATGGCAGGGGACTCTTTGGGCAAGGACTCCTTGCCATAGCGGGTGAGGTTGCAGGGTGTTTCACACTCTGGACAAGTGGGACTCTGTGAGACACAGGCAGTGGCTGCCCCGCGTGGCCAGGATAGGGTCAGGGCTCTTCGGCAGCTCACCCAGGAGCCCTGCGATCTCATAGGCCTTCTTCTGCTCGATGGTTTCATAGTTGAGGACTTCAAAGAAAATGTCCAGCACCAGGATGTTTTCCCTGCAAAGGGATTGGAGGGAAAACCTCCGCTCAATTCCTCTCTCAGGCCCTCACTAGCAAGCTAACCTCCGAAGCCCAGTCTCTGTGTCCGCAATGAGGTGCTGATGAGGAGACCCGCCCTTTGAAGGTGGCTACAAAGATGAAGCAGGACCTTGTGAACAAGAGACACTTTGCACAAGAGCAAGTAGGAGGTGAGTCCAGTTACAGCAATGAGATGAGAAGAGGAAAGACAAGGGAGAGGGGGAAAGAGCCCCTGCTGCCTATTCCAGCTTGATGTTCCATCTATGCTCAGTCCAAACTCATTTTTTTGTTTGTTTTTTAATCCAGAACTGATAGTGTTAATGGGTTACTCCCAGCCTCCCAGCTCTGGACAGCAGGGGCTGGGGATGGGGGGGGCGGGGGGAGGGTTTGCTCCCAGTGGAGCTCAGAAGACCAGGGAAAGCTCGTGCTCCGCGTCTGTTGAGCCATCATCATTCCGCCCTCAGCCCAGATTCATTGACCTGTCTTCTACATGTAACCTTATCCTACCTGCCACCCCGCCCTCAACGCTCTCTCCCACCCTTAACAGTCCCAGCCCCAGCCCGTCCTCACAGCAAGCTCTTACCCTATGTACTGCTCAGACTTGTTGAACTTCTTGGCCAGGTACTTGGCAGAAGCCTTGCTGGGAATCTTGACCATGGACAGCTCCTTGCCATAGCGGGTGAGGTTGCAGGGCATTTCACACACGCAGTATTCCTGGTCTTTCTCCACCAGGAAGTCTGCACCCAGCCAGGTGGGAGGTGCCAGTTGGGTGGTGGCCTTCTGCCAACCCTTCCCAACACATCCACCTAGCCCTGTTCAAAGGAACCTGGGCCCCCGCCTTTACCTCAGAACCAGCCTGTGTTTTGAAGCCCCTGAGTCTCATTCCCTGGGGCCCTTGGCAGTCAGCCAGCTGAGTGCTGATGAGAGAGGGCGAGCCCCTCACCCCCCACCTCCCCCACTCCAGGTGATGCCTGCATACTCTCGCAGGGGCCCTGGAGACACTATCTCCAGCCTTGCCGAAATCAGACACAGGGAGTTCAGGTGAAGCCTGGTCCTGGTTGTTAGGCGCTTCTGGGAGCTGTGGGGTTTTTTTGTTGTTGTTTGTTTGTTTTTTGCTTTTTAGGTCACACCCAGCAATGCACAGGGGTTCCTCCTGGCTCTGCACTCAGGAATTACCCCTGGCGGTGCTCAGGGGACCATATGGGATGCTGGGAATCGAACCCAGATCGGCCGCGTGCAAGGTAAACACCCTACCTGCTGTGCTATCACTCCAGCCCCTGGGAGCTGTGTTTGAACCCCCTGTGCATAAGGCTGGCTGGAGCCTTCTCCCCCACGCCCTGCCAGTCCGGGATCGGGGCTCTCACCCAGCGCAGGATCTGCACACTCCTTGTACTGTTCGGGAGTGCAGTACGGGGCATCCCCTGCAGAGGAGAAAAGAGATTGTGGCGCAGGACATGTTAAGGGGTTGCCCCTGGTAGTGCCAGGGAAGACCCCAAAGCTAGAAACTGATAGAAGACTAGAGGGTAGGTCTAACCATCCCCATTCTGACCTAGAGGCACCTCCCACCCCAGTCCACCCCTCCTAACCTCTCCCCGCTCCTCTAGAGGGATGGAGGTCAGAGAGCACCAGGGGAGGAGCTGGCCTGCTTCCTGGATGGCTGGAGGCTGCTGCAGGTGGGCCGGGGGCAGGAGGCTCACCTGGCATGTGCACCATGCGGCAGTTACAGTTCTCCACCAGGTAGCGAGTCTCACAGTCAATGCGGCAGGCTGTGATGCTGTAGGAGTCGAAGAAATCCGAGTCCATGGTAACAGCTTTGCAGGTGCCCCAGGGCGGGGGCAGGTAGATGAGCTGCTGGGAGAGCCGGGGAGCTGGGGGGTGTGGGGACTTCTCCCCAAGTCACCCCGGGGGACTTTTCTGGCGACACAGAGCTCAGGAGTCTTTTCCCCTTCGCAGCCTCTGTGGATCTCTGAGTTGACAGAGTGCTGAACTCATTGGCTCCCTGGTGCTGTCCATCCCAGTCCACCCATCAATCCACACAGAGCCCTGAGCACCTTGTTCCCTGCCCCCATGGCCCACTCACCCGCTGCTCCTGGCAGGCCACGAAGGTCTGGAACCCTGGGGCCACGCCAAAGCCAAGCTGGTCAATGAAGGGAGGCTCATCCTGGCTGTGGATCTGTACCTTGATACCGGCTTCAAATGATGTCTCATCTGCCGGGGACAGGAAGAATCAATAACCCTGCAAAGCCTGGGTTGTCCCTCCTCTCCTGGGGCCCGCACAGCAAATGCCGGGACAGGAGGGCTGGCCTGTGGCCCCGAGCCTGTCACCCGCCTCCTGTCTCTCCTCTGATCTCCAAAGTGAGCACTTTTCTTCCCTGGCTTGAGCGATGCAGCTTGGACTTTCGGTGCTTGCTCCCTGTCTCTGATGTTCTCCACGCCTCTCTCACCTCCTTTCCTTTCTCCCTGATTCCTCTCTGCCCCAAGGCCCCCGAGACCAGACAGACAGCAGGCAGTTGAGAAGAGATGGAGTTATTTATAGAACAAGCGGCAGCGGCCAGGGATGGGAGGGATGGCTGGTTACCGTGGAGAATAGCTGAGCCGGGGAAGGGGGCCGGGCGAGTGTGGCCATCAGGTAGAGCAGGAACGGGAAAGGCCAGCAGCAGGGGGGTGTTGAGGGGGGGAGGAGGTGCATGCCTGCAGGACTGAGTCCAACCCAGGCGTCCCAGGGGTCCGCACGTGAAGGCTGAGGGCAGAACCACAGTGCTGGGATCCCCGTGAGAGGTGACATACCAGTTTCCCCCCAGACGGGCAGGTACTCATCCTGCTGGATGTCCAGCATGATCTCCAGCCCGTTGCCTGTCCCGCCCTTCATGGTCTTCAGCCGAGGTCGCCCGTCTCGGCCTGAGTTGAATGTGTAACACTTTCCATAGCGCGTGAAGACCTGGTAGGAGCAGAGCAGTGAGCCTGAGAATCCTGCCAGCACCCCTCGGCTCAGCTGCAGGGACCACAGTGCCCATCAGGAAGGACCCTTCCCGTACACCCCACCTCTGGGGGTCCCCGTGTACACCTGCCCCCACTTCTACCTTTCTTTGCCCTAACGGTGCCCTGAAAAGCAGATTCAACTGGGGCATACCTATACCCCTCCGCTTTGGGTGGGGTTAGCAACGGGAGGGGTCGGTAGTAGTCAGAGGGCGGGAGAGGTGAGGGAACTCATCCTGTTCCCCTCTGAGGTGATGTGGCAGTGGACAGACCCCCTGACCCCCCACACTGCCAGGAGGGCTCCCTACTTAGCACCATTTCTTGTGCTCCTTCAGTCAGCGACAAACTTCCCACTCCTGGTGCCCAGTCCCCTTGTTGTTTTCCTGAATTCTGCAAACAGTTCCTTAGTAATTTTGGGGGGAGTGGGGTGAGGTGGAGGGCCATACCCAGCTGTGTTGACTCTGCGCTCAAGGATTGTTTTTGGAGAGGCTCATGGGACATTTGGGGTGCCGGGAATCCAACCCAGTCAGCTGTGTGCAGGGCAACCACTGTCCCTGATCTACTGTCTCTTCACCCCCTCTGTTAATCCTCGTCCAGCCTGGGACTCACTTTCCACATATTTTTCACCAGCATCATTGTGTGTTCCTGAGCCTCCTTGAGACCCTGGGGTCTTCACTTCTCCCGATCTGACCCAGGCAGCAAGACCTCTGCTCTCCCGGGCTTTCCATTCCACCAGCCACGGTCCCTTCCATCACCATGCCCTATCCTTGTTCCACCAAAACGGAGAGTGCAGACCCACTAGCCATGCCCAGACCTCTCCTCACAGAGGACCCCAGTTCTCCTGCCAGTATCTGACATACTCCCCCTGGCCATGGCCTGCTTGGCAGGACTCAGGACTAAGGGGGATCTCAGAAGAGACCTCATCTTGGAAACAGTTCCCCACCTCCACTCCCCCGCCTCCCTGTGCCCTGGGGCAGCCCTGTCACAGTTCTAATGACATAGCTACAGATGACCCCATTCTTGCTGACCTGTTCCCCTTAACCGCCCTGTGTCCCGGTTCCTATGTATGGGTTGAGTAGGTTCTAGGGTGAGTATGGACACAGCCCAGAGTTGCAGATGAGTCTGGGGCGGCAGGAGAAGTGGAGGTTCATAGAAAATAGAGCCTTTGCCCGGCCCCTCACAGACCAGCTCCTCCATGCCCCAGAGAAAAGAAAACTGCCTCTTTTTTGTGGCAATGTTCGGAAAAGAGATAAAGATCTCCTAACCCACCATCCCTACTATTGGGTTTGTGGCTTTCCATCAGCCTGGACACACGGTCCTGCCACTTCCATCGTGGGTGTGATGGACTCTGGGGAGCTGGGCTGAGCGCTCGTATCGTACTGGGACTGCTGCTGCCATCTGGTGGAACTGTGTGAGATATGATGCTCTCCTCTCAGCTCCAGAGGCTCTGGCTCCCGTTCCCTAAAGTGGCTGGTGTGCGCCCTGGGGTCCAGGGCTCCAGACCCTTGTCTGTCTGTCTGCCTGCCATCCCCAGAGCTCAGACATGACAGCATTCTCCCGCTCCTGCACCAGGGTGGGGACAGGGAACTGACAACAGGTACCTGGAAGGGGCAGGAGAAAAATCAGGCAGACTGCACTGACGGAGGGTGAGGTACCACAAGGTCCCTCAGCCGGGGGTGCCTGAGAGCCTGAGGTGAGGTCAGCAAGGGGCCAAATCTTCTACTGAGGACATTGCCTGGGAAGAGGGTCTTTGACCACTTAGAGCTGGGGACAGCAGATGGTGTAAAGGAAGTCTGCTTTTCTCCCACAAATACACACACACATCTCATACACACATACAGTCACACACGTACACACTTATATGCCTTCATACACACGTTTACTCACACACACACACACACACACACACACACACACACACCCCTTAGGAGGAGCACAGGAAGGACCAAGACTTGGCAGCGGGAGCTGTGGAGAAAGGGTCTAACGGAGTGGCAGTGGGACCACTCCCCCACTTCCCTCCCGCGTTCTCTGCTGCACCTCAACAGTGCAGAGCCCAGGAGGCACTGGCCCAGCTCCAGTCCGGGTACGAAAGTTGACATGGCTGACAAGGGGCCGGCCCTCAGCACCCATCCGAGCAAAGGTTGGCCGCAGAAGGAGTCCGGGCCCCGTGTCTCACAGGTGGGTGTGGGGAAGCACTGGAGAGGCTGGAGGATACTGAAGAAGACTCCAAGTGCCTTGAAAGCAGCCGATATCCACTTAGCGCGGATGCTTTTGGGGGTCCTACCCGGAGAAGAAGCGCTGGCAGGGCCCTAAGAAGAGCAGCCCAGCTGCAGGACCCGGGGCCCTCCACCCGCTCCAGCCAGCCCCTCTGAAGCTTATCACAGAGAGTAGGTGAGCCGGGTGTCGGGGGACAGGCAGCCAGCAGCCCCAGCCCCAGGAGGTGACGGTCAGGGTCAGCCCTAGCAGACACTCTTGGGTTGCTAGGCCAGGCGTGAGCCCTCACTCACCACCGAGAAGTTGTGAGGGCCACAGGGCCCCCCGCGATAGGAGCAGTACAGCAGCATGTCCTCCAGCCGGTGGCAGGAGCGATTGTAGAAGCGGTGCAGATTAAAGGGCTCCCCAGAGAAGGCCTCAGGCCCTGGGGGGGCCAGGGGAACCCCGGGGTCATCACTTTCATCCAGCCCCAGCATAGGGGCCAGGTAGAGCAAGTCGGGGTAGCTGAGCTGGGACAGCCGCACGGCATTGGTGTTGCAGAGCGTGACCGCGGGGAAAGCCAGCTCCGCGGTGGCCACCTCGTCCAGCAGAGTCACGTGTGGGTAGCTGAGGTAATAGGCGACGCGGTCCCCGACCTGGCACAGGAAGGCACCCAGTGCCAGGACGAAAGCCACTGCCCATACGGCCTGCCTCAGTCCTGGACCCCCTCCCACAAATACATGGCTGGCACCGTGCAGGGAGCAGCTGTTGGCAAAAGCCACCAAGTCCACAGGCAAGCCCTCCTCTCTGGTCTTTTCCTTCTCTTCCTCCTCTTCTGAGTCCGAGTTGCCTTGTGGCTGGCGCCGGTGGCCACCCCAAACTTCTCCCAGGGGCCCTGGGGCCTCCTCCCCAGAGGAGAAAGACACGGAACAGAAGATCTGGATGGGCATGGTCTCTGGGGGCTTCCTGGTGCCCGAGGATTGGCAGGAGCAGGGCCAGTAGATGTGATCCCTGGCCGTCCTCCCTCCGGCTGTGCTGCCTCCGTCCTTGGGCCCTCCTCCCCCTGCCTTGGCACGGGGCGGGGCATGGGAATGACAGAAGGAGAGAGGGGCGGGGCATGGGAATGACGAATGGAGAGGGGCAGGGCGTGGAGATGATGGGCAGATGGCAGGGAAGGTGGAGGGAGGGTAGTGGATTGCTCTCACTAGGTCCCACGGGACAGAGAAGACTGGAGACAGGATAGGAACCCGGGAGAGTCTCGGTACCCGTCTCTTCTCGGGTGAGAGGGAACGCAGGATGATCCCTGACCCAGGGCACTTGCTCAAGTTCCCTTGCATCCTCAGCCTGCGGGACCTGCATCTCTCTATCCTGATCTCCCTCTCATCTCTTCCTCTCCTCCCTGGCCCACCCACGTCCCTGAGATCTCAGCCCCACTCTTCTTTTGCACTCACGCCTCTCTCCCCTTCCTTGACTTGACTGGATCCATCCGATCACTTCATGGATGACCGCCCCCAACACACACACACACACAAATTCTCCCAATATGCCCAATTTCCCTCTGATTATTCCTCTGGCACTCAGTTCCTTCCCTCTCACTGCAGCCCAGAAAGTAGAAGCAGACCTCTCTTCCATTCCCATTTCCCTCGTTCCCCTGCAATCACTCCCTTGACCTCCAAGTTCCCTCCAGCCAGTCCCTGACCCATTCATCCACCCTGTGGAGTCAGCACCTCCCCCCATTCTGAGCACACTGAGGTCACTTTCTTTCTCCTCTCCCTTCTGTGGCTTGGGGGGCAGCCCAGGTTCCATTAGCAGAGGTCTGACCACAGACTCATTTATGGCCAGTTCCCGGCACTGGGGGGAGGGACCCCATCACTTGCAGCTGAAAAGCTTCCTGGCAGATCACCACATCCCCACCCAGTGAGCCCACCCCAGACTCCAAGAAAAGAGCTCGAGGAATTTCCCTCCTGGAGGGTGGAAAAATTGAGATCAGAGCAAGGGTGGGGACGGGGCCAGGTGGAGAGTGTGGAGAAGCAACCTGCACCCCTCAACCCTCGGCCCCTCAGACTCAGGCCCCCAAGCCCCCAGTGGCTCAGTCCCTGCCCCCAACTCTGCCCTCTGTGCTCTGATTACTCAGGGCCACTGGTTGAGGAACTTGAGCCAGCAGCCAAGTCTCCAGGGCCGAGAAGGTGACCGGAGGGGGAAGGGTGAAGGAGAGCAAAGGGATGCGCGTTAACCCTTCCGGGCAGGGCCAGAAGAAAGGATGAGAAAAATCTCAGGGGCCTTCCCATTCATTTGCCACCAGCAATCCCAGGTCAACCTCCGTCCTCCGCATCGGCACCCACACATCTTCCCTTCTCAACTGCAGGCAGAGACCCTGGTGTGTGTTGGGATGGGAGGCAGAGTGCCAGGTTCAAGCAAAGACGGCTGTTATGGGACCTCTGGCCTTGGCTTTGCTGCCAGGGACACAGAGCCCAGAAGAGGCTTTGCCATCAGCCCCGTGGTTCTGAGGCACTGTGTCCTTGCAAGCATCTTCTCTTCAGCAGCCGCCAACTGTCCGGCCATTCCCACAATTTCTCCACATCTGCACTGTAGTCCTGCCCCGGCTTCTCCTTAAAGGCCTCCTCTCGCCCCAGGGGCTCGTGGTCAGAGGGAAAGTCCCCCAGGAAGACCCAGAAGGCCTTTACTAGCACAAAGCCGTTTGTCCTCCCACCTACCTGCCTTTGCCCACTTCTACCAGCTCCAGCCTCCTTGTCCCTGACACTCTGCTTGCCAACCTGTCCGAGCCTGCCCTGGATTCCAACTGGAGGATTCCTAGGCATTTTCCCAAGAGCCCATTTACATGCTTCCTCCTCCAAGAAGACTTCACTCACTGCTCAGGATTCAGTGACTGCCTACCTAGGAAACAGACTGAAGGGGCCAGTTCTGCTCAGGGTCCTTCGGGTGTAAGTAGCAACGAGTAGGTCCTTGAGGACAGGGACTGTGAGGATGAAAGAGCTAGACCCGGAGACCATGAAGAAAGGACTAGGGACACCCAGGGCAGCCACAGGCCTGGCACTGCAGATACCCTCGCCAGCTGCTGTTCTCAGACTTGAACAAAATCATCTTTCCTTTCAACCGCATGACCCACATGCATTTCCTTCCTGACTTCCAGACCCAGCAGGGCACTCCTGGGATTGTGCTGCAGAGGTGTCTTGGATTGAACCCAGGAGGCCTGGGCTCAGCCTTGAAGGGGGGGGGGGGGGGGGGGAGCGAGTTGCAGCAGCCTGGCATCCCATGACCGCTAGGGGTCACTGTCCCCCACTGAGATTTCCTGGAGTGGGAAGGATCTGGGGGTGGGATTCCCAGTTGTGGCTCCTTTCTAGAAAGAAGGGCAGATGCAGAGAGAGCCTGAAAGGACAGCAAATGTGGTATGGCTGGACACTTGTTCTCCTGCATCAATACCCATGCTGCACAGCTACACACCACACACACACACACACACACACACACACACACACACCTAAAACGCTCTTTCTCCTTCAGGCGACATTCTCCTGCCTCATCTCCAGCAGACAAACCCTGTTTTTCCCAGTAGTGAAGAGGGAAGTGGACTTGCTACTGAGCAGCTGGCGGGGGCTGGGGGCTGAACAGTTTGGGCACTGAGCACTGCACTGTGCTCGTCTGAGTCCCTGTGCAAGCACGCCCTGTGCTTCTCCTGACCACTTTGGCTCAGTCCTGTGTGCCAACTTGATGGGTGGGTAGTCTCCCATCCTTGCCCAAACGCCAGCCAGCCAGCCACGCTTCATGTCTGTGGACTGTTTGATGTCTTTCTATTCTTATTCAAATAACTCATCAACCATGTCCTTCGTGTCTCTGTGCTGAGGATGCATGGAGATCAGATAATGAACCATGGCCCTGCCCTCATACAGCTTACCACCTAGGGTGGGAGAAAGAGAACAATTTTGTTTTGTTTTGTTTTGGGGCCATCCCTGGCAGTGCTCAGGGCTTACTCCTGGCTCAGAGCTCATGGATCGCTCCTGGTAGTGCTCCGGGAACCACATGGAATGCTGGGGATTAAGCCATGTGAGCCGCATACAAGGCAACCGCCCTAATTGCTCCAGCGAAAGAACAATTTTTTTTAACTAAAAGATATTCAATATTTAATTTAATGATAAACTATGGTAAGTGCTCTGAGCAAAAACGTGGCTCTGTGGGGGTGAGTGACAGGGACTCCAACCCAGAACGGGAATCAAAGTACATTTCTCTGAGAAAATGGTGTCTGAATTATGCTCTCAGGAAGGAAGAGGAGTGAGATAAAGGTTTGCATGTGTGTGGGTTGCGTGGGTGGTATTCAGAGGACAAGGGGAGAAAGGGCAGATGTGTCAGAGAGTGGGGTAAGCACAGCCAGGGACATCATACACTCAGGGCCTGAGGATTCTGGTCCAAGAAGGCTTCAAGGCAGTCAGAGCAGCATCGTGGAGACACCGGGAAGAGCCCGAGGCATTGCTGCTGGGAGACGCACTGGGGAATGACAGTGGTCCAGGGCAGAGAACTGTGAGGCAGTGAGGGGCTTGGAGCAGGGTGACAGAGTGAAGACACTCAGGAGGTAAATTTGGCAGAGCCTATTAAGGGAGATGAAGTGTCGGGGATGATTTCTAGTTTGCATAATTGGGTGAATGGTGGGTGGTGCAAGTGCACCACCATCGGGAGCAGAAGTTAAGGAAGAGTTTAACGGAAGGCAAAGGCTGAATTTGGCTGTGCACAGGCTGGTTTTGAGACTCTTGGGGACATCCAAGTGGCGATGCTGAGTAGGAAATTGTCCTCTGGAGCTGGTGCTCAAAGGAAAGAGCTAGACTGAGACATAAATATGGCACTTGCCCTGCAAATGTATCTGAAGATGGTAACTGAAGTCATGCATGGAATGCACAGAGATGAGACTGCCCAAGATAGAATATGAAGCTTAAAAAAGATGGAAGAAGGAAAAAAGGGTTTGATTCAGCAATATCCTCTACACCTTAACAGAATCTTGGTCTATGACTTAACTCCAAGTTATTCAAGGTGAAAAGACAGAAATTATAAGAGAATTAAAAGAGGGACTGGAGCGACAGTACAGCGGGTAGGCTGTTTGCCTTGCATGCGGCCATCCTGGGTTCAATCCCCGGCATCCCATATGGTCCCCCAAGCACCGCCAGGAATAATTCCTGAACGCAGAACCAGAAGTAACCCCTGAGCGTCTCTGAGTGTGACCCAAAAGCGAAAAATTAATAATAATAAAAATCTTTAAAAATGTTATAAAGAAAATTAAAAGAGAAAAATTAAAACTAAATTAAATTGAATTTAAAGAGAAAAGACAGGAATTATAAATGTGTATTTATAATTGCCTCAAGCTAGAAACAACTCAAATGTCTAGTAAGAGTAGGGCAGATAAATAAATTGTAGTCTAGCTACATAATGAGATATTACACAGCACTGAAGAACAATGAATTACTGCTACACCACAATGAGAATGAATTTCACACCCATAATTATCAGCAAAAGAAGACAGACTTAAAGCATATACAAAGTGCGGAGGATACTTACCTTTTCAAGTTCAACAGGGAAATATATTTGTACTGGCAGGAATCAGAGTAATGGTTTGGTAGCATTGACTAAGAAAAGGCTTAAAGGGACTTTCTAGGTGTTGGAAGTGTTTTTTGCCTCTGCAGTCAAAGAGAGTACAAGAGATAAGGTGCTTGCCTTGCATGTGGACACCTGATTTGATCCTCTGTCCGGTATATGGTCCTCTGAGCACAGCTACGGGTCACTCCTGAGCACAGAGCCAGGAATAGCCCCTGAATACCCCCCCAAAAAATTGGCTTTTGCTTTGACACCATTGTAAAATCATATTATTGTAATATGTAAAACATTACCTTATAAGATACACAAATACAGAAATTTATTAAGTTAATTTTGAGAGGGTCAGAGTGATAGTATAGAGGATAGGGTGTTTGCCTTGCATGCGACTGACCCAGGTTCAATCTCCGGCATCCCATATGGTCCCCTGAGCCTGCCAGGAGTGATCCCTAAGCATAAACCAG